TTAGCTACTTCGACTTGGCTTCGGGGATGTTTAGCTCAGCCCCGGTCCTTGAACTGTTGTGCTCGAATACGGAGTATGTCGGTCGCAGTTTGTTTGACGGTGGATTGGCTTTTGGCATTTCCGAATGCACATTAAACGCAAGTATCTTAGAACAGCAGAAGCTAGCGTGGTAATGCTAGTACGATGAAGCCGGAGGTTTGCCCAGTAAGACAAGCGCAAGAAAGATGGTCAATCTTTTTTTGAAGCCGCCTGTCTGCTTCTCTTCAACTGTGTACTGCATACAGAGCCTGAAAAAATCCATTTGTTTGAATAACAACTGCATTCACTTCCAATTGATGATAATAAACAAGAATCATCCTCTATTAATATTGGAGTTTCACAAGGGTCTCCTCTATCCCCTGTTCTCTATAATTTATATACAAAATTTCTCTTTGAAAATCAAATCATGAGAACCTGCAGAATGTGAGAATTTCTAGCTATATTGATGATACTGATTTAATTGAAGGTTGCCCTGACAATTGGTGGACAAATGTTGTTCCGCCCCGAACACCAGTCAGACTCCTAAAAGCATAACCTGAATTCTTATTGGAAATGTTGGTGAAAAGATTTCCTGGTAGGATACGAGTATGGTCCATGATAATCGATTGACGCTAATACTGAAAACCACTCCAGTGCCGGATCATTTGGAGGTTCAACCCGGGGTCTTGCACTGCGGGTATTCCTGTTTTCTTTTGGCTAGCCGGAGTGAAAAGACGTGTGACCGCAGAGGTGAGTGCAAGCCATATTGGCTATCCAGGGCAGAGATTGATATCTGAGCTGATTAGATTATGAGCGCAGTCATGTCCCATTAACCACAAACTCGCAGTCCAAATTTTTGGCTTTAAATAATTGACAGGTGCTGCTTGGGCTTTTTGAATTTTGTGTATTAATTATCGAACTCGAGTTGAATGCATTCAGAAGGGTTTTCCTCTCCATGCCACAAAAACCGTCAACTGCCGTCCGGATTCCTGACAACCCGGAGAAATGACGGACGAGTGCCCGAAAAGCAAGGACACTGAGGGCCGCAGATATAAACGGTTTCACAAATCGGTATTCTCCGCGTTAAATTGCTTCCGAATTTATTATCAGGAATCGATTCGAATTCGCCGAATCGGTAGCGTTACGGTGCTCGCCGGTATTGCCGCAAGGTTTCGACTCAATTTGGTTTCTCGAAGAAGTTGATTATGATTTTTTCTTTGGTACTAGTCTCCAACACCACGAAAAGGTACGAGTCAATCGTTAGAGTGTGATCAGGGGAAAACTTTTTTAAAAGCCCGCTTTGGTATCAAATACAGTGCTCTCACTATATACCCTCATGATACCCTCCTGACCAACCAGAACAAGGCCTTGGTAGTAGGATTGGGCGGCAACGTCCTGGATTGGTTGCCTACCATCAACCTTAGGGTTTTATGAACGGTGGTGATTGCAGGTGCTGTGACGGGGCACCTGCTGACAGCTCAGATGAGACTGTCTCACCGACTATAGGGTTGTCTCCCATAGCCAACGAGAGTGCTGTGGCAGGGCACTTAAAAAGAGGCTCGGCGGCGTAGCCTCAAACGCAAAACGCGGATTTCTTCTTCCCTCTCTTTCAGCTGTTTTGACAGCTGGGAAGACTCCCAGCTGCAACTGCCCGCTTCTCGGGCCAACTCCACCAGCCTTTGATGGAACTTCTCGAGGTCCTCTCGCGCATTGGCTTCCGCACGGTCTCTCTCCCTCTCAAGGGCACCTTTCTCCGCCTCAAGGACGGCTTTCTCCCTCTCAAGGAGCTGATTCTGCCCTTGGAGGTTGCGGACCTCCTCCCGAAGGGCATCAGCCGTCCCCTGACGGCCTTGGAGCCACCTACAATTTCCCCAAGTTAGTTTTTGTATTCCACAATGTGTACTAAAAGCCAATGCCATGCAGTATTATCACCAACCAATAGGCTCTTCTCAACCATCCTCTGTCGAGGATACCACCAAGCAGAAAGTCTATCAGGCTGATGACGCTGGTAAAGATTCCAAACCCATCCGCCATTTTGGAGTGAATATTGGCGATATGTCAGGAATGCAACTCACCATCGTGTGAACAATCGAGGGGGAGGTCTTGAGAAGCTGGTCAGTCAGGCAGCAGAATGCCTCAACAGGAAGGAACGCACCTGGGTTCTCTATGCCTTCCTTCGTCTCTCTTCGCTCCTTCCTCGCCCTGGTAACTTGCCCCTCCCCGCTTGCCCTTTTCGGTATTCCATTCCGCCCGCGGCAGGAAATCGGCGCCTGCTTGATGCGGCAGACTCCCACTTGCAGTCATACCAGCACTGTCCAACCGCTGGCCACAAGAAGTGCTGTATGCCGGCGGGCTCGTTTGGGGAGCCTCACTGAAACTATAGGCCGGGGGTGGGTCACAGCCAGAAGGCGAGCTTTCAATATTATATTCCATTATGAAGCACAAGTGACAAGAACAAACTCAGCAATGCTAGATGGCAAGTCAGCCCGTTATCCCTTTATACTGAACGATGGACGAAGAAAAGGTGAGGTGACTAGAGCGCCTCGAAAATCTTTTCACATCCTTTGGCGGTGAAGGCCCTAGGCTGACCTACTTACCTCAGGTTGGCAAGGTTGCTCAGATCAAATAGTTATTTCTCTCCTTTATGGTTATCTGTCTCGTAAGGAAGACGGCCAGCCATCTGCAGGACACTGTCTATTTATGTAGAAAAAATCACGCCTGAGGCTTATTAACATGAATCTGACGACTTATTCACATCATCCACCCGGTGAATGCCGCTGATGTCAGAAATGAGTTAGAAGTAAGCTTAAACCTCCTAATGAAGGGGTCATTTTTATCGAAGGAGCCTATTCTTGACCTTGAAGTTAACCAATAGCCAAAATCTCCAAGAAAGGGGAAAACCAGCTGAACATGAAGTCAAATCTCATTACTGAATCTACTGAAATCTCTGCGGTTGATATGCATAGCGTTCATGAAATACTCTGACGTCCTGCAATGATAAGAAATGCTCGGGAATTACATGCAAGTCATATTGCTAAACTCGAAAGGTATAATACATGGTCAGAGAGCTTCTACGGAGGAAAATTTCAGGGAGAACTGGTGGTCTAGTCAACACTCTAGCGGGCGCACGCCGTGCTTTGTAACTAACTGTGTTTAACCCAACCATCTTCCATGGCTTCTTCGTTCCCCTGGCATTCGCGTGTTCAACCTTGACATCATTGGGGCCTGACGACGTAGAGCTTACCATAGTTGTTGCAGCCATAAGCTACCATGGCTCACGCTTCCGAGCTCGCCGGTTTCAGTGGCCAACGTATGGTATACACTTTCATCTTGACAAAATTGTATGATTCTTTGGTAACTTGGTGGCACTGTAAATGCAACAGGTTGGGTACGGTCCGGGCCCTTCCGAATTCCGTGTAGCTCGGTCAAAGAGCATAATTTCCTGAATTGCGTAGGTATGATGTGGCATTCGTATAGTCTCCCATTGGTAATATATGGAGTAAAACCAGCAGACTCACAGCCATCGTAGTAAGCCTCAAGGCTGAAAACACTATGGCAGATATGGCATGCATGCTTAATATTGAAAGCGATGAAGTCTGGTCGAGCAGGCAGCCACGAAACTCCAGAAATGTAGACGTACTCCGTACGTCTACCAAGTAAAACAAATATACGGTGAACAGCGAAGTGCTTAACAATTGAACGCAGAGACGGGAGTTTTCTGAAAACACAGGTTTGATGCTCCAACTCCAATCCAAATGGCGAAATCAAGCCCCTTAAAGCTGTAAAATTCCACGTTGCTGACCTAGTCGAGGGCGTTTTGTAATGCTGTCCGGTGTCTAAGGTATCTTATGGGCCTGAACGGGAGTCTCTCGTATCCGCGAGGGCCCTGGGCTGGCCCTGGGTCATTGGCTGGTCTCAACCCGTCAAGGACATCCACAATTCCGTTTTTCAGATGTTCGGTCTTCGAACTTCTTGAGATTGACGTGTATAAGATCGTAGCAGCTCCTGGTGCTGCTCATAAAGGCTTTCTAGCCGGTCCTCGAGCTCTTTGGCATGTTTTTTCCCTTCCTATCCCGAAAGGCACGCTGAGATGCTTTGTTTTGCACTCGGCGTCGCTAACAAGAATCCAAAAAGACGAGCATACTAAAGTTTGGGGTTAGATGGAGTGCACATACCGGATGCATGCCGCGAAGCTTTGATTCCCCATAGGCGAGGTTGGATTCCTTCGGTCCCGTTCATGAAGTAGTTCCAGCTTGAGAATTGGATGACTAAGGCACTGATCACCACGGCAACCACATGATCGCAACTTGGCTGGACGCCTGCCGACGCAGCTTCTCACCATTAGTTGGGCCGAAACTTGCAGCCCCAGCGACATTTGGCACACTAAGCCCGACTATTGCTTTTTCCTTCATTGCGCCTAAGGACAAGAAACTCCCCCGGTCTCCATTTGATGGCTTTTCTCAGTTCAAAGGGATTTGGACTTTTCTCGGCCTAGTGTTTTCCTCCGCGATCTACCCCGTAGTAGATCAACAGTCGCGTTTCTGGACAGCCCCGGTCCACCCCAGCCCGGATTGTGTCTGCAGGTCCATCGAATTAAAAATGTCATCCTTTATTCCCACAGTGTCAGTGTGCAGCCGGAATCTTTTCCTTTCTCCGCTTGCCCCCGATACTTACCAGTCGCGACTAATGACTGTCCAAAAATACTAATATGTTGGGTTTACAGTAACGCGCGATCGAGAGGCCCATTTAGACCCCGCACCGCAAACAAAGGCACCACAAATTATCAGTTGAGGCAATTTGCAGAAGCTACGCTTGGTAGTGGAAGTCTACGAAAAGCCGTGAAATTGCCTGAAGGCGAAGATATCAACGAATGGCTGGCAGTGAACTGTATGGATCATTTGAAGAAGCTCCTCGGGCTAACACTGACGTGCTGTGGCAGTGGTTGATTTCTATAATCAGATCAATCTGTTATATGGAGCGATCACGGAATTTTGCTCCCCGCAAACATGTCCAGAGATGAAGGCCACGGATGAGTGAGCGCTCCCACGCAGGTAGCTTCAAAAACAGCAGAGAAAATTAATGGTTGGTAGATTCGAGTATTTGTGGCAAGACTCGGAAAAATACAAACGCCCAACCAAAATGTCGGCTCCGGAATACGTCGAACACTTGATGACTTGGGTCCAGAGCAATATTGATAACGAACAAATGTTCCCAAGTAGAATTGGTGCGTGCTCTGGATTCTGTTGGAGAATATCTGAACTTTCAAATTCTGACGACTTCTCCCTAATGCTGATAGGTGTTCCGTTTCCAAAAACCTTTCCCAGCCTGTTGCGACAGCTCTTTAAACGTTTGTATCGAGTGTACGCGCACATATACTGCCATCACTATCCGGTGATCGTTCATCTCGGGCTGGAACCGCATTTGAACACGAGTTTCAAGCATTATGTGCTTTTCGTCGATGAGCATAACTTGGCAAGCGGAAAGGACTTCTGGGGACCGTTAGGAGACCTGGTGGATAGCATGTTGCGCAGTGATTAAGGCGGGGTTCTCTGAATTTTTGCCGGATAAACGACAACGGGTACAGTACTGGCGGATGCATGAGCGTGGGAAAACTGTGGCGTTTGCGATATTTCGTGGATGGTCATATGGCGGATGGGATTGGGCGTTTTCTAGATGCGGACTTCGATGTACGATCAATGGCACGAATAATGATATTTTTTAACTAGTATGAATTATCCGCGATGAGTATCCCTCGCATGCGCTGCGAACGGACTGAATGATGGTGGTTCCGTTTGCTGGTCACCACGAAATTGCGAGCGCATCACGTGACGCTTTAACGACAGATGTGCCGGAAAGTCTCCATCTCAACCGTGCGAATTGGTCTGAGCGATTCAATTGCACATTGCAACGCCCATTGGCACCTTTTTCATTACCAGATCGAGACCGATTGGGATAACTCCTTCGCCATGCTGTCCGCCCGCGTTGCCCAGGCGAGCCTCCGTGCGTCCGCCCAGCAATTCACCCGCAGAGCCGCTGTCAACGGCATAAGAACCTATGCCACGCCCGCCCAAGACTCGAAGCCGCCAGTTGCCCTGTTCGGTATCGATGGAACATATGCCAATGCTTTGGTATGTAGCCTGCTCGCTTTTACTCTCCCTTCTGCGCTTTTTCACGATGGTTAGCAAATGGCGAAAGAAGCCGTCGGGACGATTTTGGCTAACCACTTCGAATCACTGGAATTCGAGTGGGTTTATAGTATACCGCATCCGCCAAAACCTCGAGCCTTGAACAGACCTCCAAAGCCCTCACTAACCTTGGTGAAGTCTTCAAGAGGGACGCCAAGCTCACCACGATCTTGAACGCGCCCACTCTCTCCCAGGGCGACAAGGCTCAGATCGTTGCCGAATTGCAAAAGGTCGCCGGTGGAGCGGGCAAGGGCGATGTTTTGAAGAACTTCTTGAACACGCTAGCGGAGAACAACCGTTTGGGGTTGTTGCAGGGTGTGTGTGAGAAGTTTGCGATGTTGATGAGTGCGTATCGGGGAGAAATTGAGTTGATCATTACCAGCGCTCAGGTAGGGATGCTGCCAGCCCTTTATCGCTATGTGTCTATAAGAGATGGTGCTAACTCCCCAGCAGAAACTCGACCAGAAGACTCTTCAGCGACTTGAGAATGCCGTCGCCAAGTCCGAATACAGCCAGGGCAAGAAGCTCAAGGTTGTATCCAAGGTATGTACTCATGCTACGCTGGCGAGAGCGTGTTGGCTAACTGTGGATGTTCAGGTCAACCCTGATGTCGTTGGCGGCCTTGTTGTGGAAATTGGTGACCGAACCATCGATCTTAGCTTGTCCTCTAAAATCGCTAAGCTTAACAAAGCTTTGACTGATGCTGTGTAAATAAACATTTCTGTCATCTTGTATTCCATCAGAAGAAAGAAATAGAGTCCGAAGTAACCTTTTTGTGACATACTATGGCTCAAAGGCAGAGGTTTTCATTTTTGAGTTGTAGTTTACTGAATGTATGTATGTATGACCATCTTGAGCTCAGCCACTAATTACCAAGTTTGTTCCCCAAGATGCTTTATTTTGGCATGAATTGTGCTATACCTTGGCGATATCTCTTACCCAGTTTCCTGCGGTGTAGATGTGATAACACAGGTGTGACTCCCCATAATTCTACATGACCATGCCATTTTCCCTTCATCAATCAATGATAAATTAAAAGTTATTAGGTAAAATACAAAAGGAAAATCTTGAAAGAATGAATAGTTAAACCCCATCCGAATAATAAAACCTCACCACTCAGCGTACATATGCATATGGTTCGTCAAAGAGTCCCAAAGGTCCTATGCCTCAGGAACAACAATTAGTCGACCACGAAGCCCCGAACAAATATATATCTTCCAAGCCCTTGGAAAGGTAAATATGCAAATCATTGGCTAGACAAGCACTGCATCGCGGATCAACAGCAACACACAGCAAAAGTTGTCAGAGTAAAATCAGAGGAACAAAAAAGGTGAACGATTGTAAAGTGCCCATATATTTTCTTTAAGCACGGGGGTATTTATATGAAGTATTTGTGCATGTTGAAACTCCCACATCGCCAGATGAATGCTGATTGATGACTGGCCTTTGTGGCCGATATATCCGCCTCGTTAATATTTATAGTCTATCTCTTATTGTCTCTCTCCGGCTCTTTGCCTTTATGACGGCCGACGTCTCGAATTGTCTGACAGTCAATGTCATCGACAGCCCTATCGTTGAGCCCATCTTCATTGTCCGTGGTGGACGGTGCTGTCGAAGCATCCGTGTACCCTTCCTCTGAGCGATAACTCTCCGAAGTGGGCGATGATGCCGATCCGAAAAGGGAGCTATCGGCATGTGGGGAGTTGCTGGTGTGGCGCGTGTCTGATTTGGATGCAGGGGACATGGATTCCTGGAGTTTTAAACGCTCCTCTGCTTCGCGGATTCTGGCCTGGAGAGCTTCCAGCTCCCAGTTCTGGATGGTGATGGTTTGTTTCCTGCAAGAGCGAATTTGTGAGCAATCGCCCTTGGATGTCGTGGAGCAAGGGCCGGGCACGAGCCATACTTCTGATGGATTTGGTGCGAGAGAGTATCGACCTCTGAGTTCAACATAAAGACGCTATCAAGCGTTTCTGCGAGGGCTTGCGCCATGGTACTAGAAAAAGTCAACGACGACATTCTTTGGATTCGACTCTGGAGCGAAAGAAGTACGGGGTACGGACGATTGAGGGCGCCCCTTGGGCTTCCACTCTGCCTCTATATCAGACATTCTGGAAATTAGATCGACGGGTGTGGTGTTTCGAAAGTTCCGCAGGATTGCAAGTCTGGAGTAGCTAGGCAAGCAGGGGTTTCGATGCGGATGATATCGTACTGTACAAGAGATTACGGCGACAAAGAGAGCGTAAGACCAGAGCCAGCTGGGGGTCCAGAGATATAATAACCAGGAGCGGAGGAAGATGCCGTTGCTTTCGATCAGCTGGTAGCACTGGGAGAGGGGAAGGTCAGGAAGGCTGGTCACGACCGTATATTAAGGGGAGCCGACGAAGTTTAGTGGTTGAGCTGATGTAACTGGCGGCTCAGCAACAAGGGCGCCTGCGAGGTCGTGCTGGCTGTTGTTTTTTGTTTTTCGGCGCCAGCACTGCGAGGAGCACAAACTATTGGAAGTTTTATTAAAGAGTGGAGGCCTGCGTATTCGTTCTATCCCCTGAGGCCTCCGGAGTGCATTCTCTCTGTCTGGATGTTATTATTTGTGTTCCCCCTTTCTCCTGCGGGCCGATCGCAGGCTATCAGTCACGTGAGACTTGGCACTGGCGCCCGTCGTTTTGCTTTCTCTTCATGAAGTTCGCGATGCCATGCAGGACGACAAGAAGCAACGCGGTTTCATCACTGGCACAACCACCCTCATCACCGCCGCCGCGCCTGTTGTTATGCTTGCGGTTTCATCGGACACTATACAGTTAGACTGAGCCCAGCTACATTCCCCGACGCGACCCTCGACCCCAGCAACAATCTCCCGTGACCCACATCCGCCATTCTGCCCTCTCCTCCTCCCAACACGTCCCCGGCTCGTCACTGCATTGGGCAATGGGGGATGCCTTCGCTGTCGTCCTACACTCCCTTCGAATCCTTTCTGTTCTTCCAATCCCTCGCGAGCTTCGATAACGACCAGAGAGCTTCTCGTCCCATCTCCCGATGCCCTCAAAAGCGACCCGTTTATTCGACAAGATGCAGCCTTTGATGTGAACCGGCTGACCCCCCAGGCGCTGGAGGAGCTCTATGCGGACCTTGTGAAGGGAGAAACTGGAGGAGAGGCATCAGCAAAGCAAAGCCCTGAACAACAGCCGCTTGTGAATGGACAGCAGGATGGGTTGGGTTCCCCGCCAAACCCGAAAAAACGGAAAGTCACGCCGCCCGGAGATGGATGCTCGCATTCAACAATAGTGTCCAGCTTGGTCTCTCGCTTATATGCGCGATATAGGGAATTGGTTACAAAGGAGATCCGGGAAGAAGAGCGGAGATATACTCAACTGCAGAATGAGCTAATCAGGGTCCATGAAGAACAAAAGGCGGAGCCTCCAACATTACCAGTGGCTGCGCAGCAGGCTCAACCTCAGCAAAAGCCTAAGCCGGCACCTGAAGATGTTCCACAACAAAGCACAAAACCAGCTGAATCTCGCGTCGATTTACAGGCTCCACGGGAACCCGGAAGTGGACCGGGAACACCGCGTGGCTTCACGAAGACCTTGCAACCTAAACATGAAGCAAATATCTCGATTCCTCCTACTTTGGATGCTGGCCGTCATGCCGCGCCACAAACCGCTCCCCAACCTGCGACCCAGTATCGCTTTGAGAACAAGACCCCGCAGTCCATGCAAGCCCATCATCAGCCTCCCCAATGGATAGCCGCAAATCAGCAACCCATCGCGAATATCCCGCCCACACCGTCAACCCAAGCCCAAAACGGAGGACCTCCCATCCAGGCTCATACACTGGCGCCGGGGTTCCCTGGAACCCCACCCGGTGTGCACATTGCGCCAACTCCTCCTGGTGTAGCCAATGCGCGAAATCAACCTCGACAGCAGCAGATTGGTCCTTCTGTGGGTATCCGACCCTCTCCACCCAAACCTGCAATGCAGAAAGGGATAATGCAGCCATGGTCCATTCACACTCCCCCACAGCGACAACATGTCTCCCCATACGCAAACACACCTCAACCTCCTGTGCCAGCTCCAAACAGACCAACCCAGACTCCGCAATCATCGAACCAAGCTGATAAAGTTCCAAACACAACGTCACAACTCCCGTTCACTGTACCTACTGGACAATTGCCCCGTCAAGCCGGCGTGAATAGCGGGCCTGGACCACTTATCGAGACTGTGAAATCAGCTCAAAATATACCCTCCTCGACTCCTATAAACGTGAATATACCATCCTTTTCTCAACGACCCGCTAGGTTATTACAGAGTTCGAGGCCTCGGACTCCGTGGAAAAAGTTGGATGCCCTTCAAATTCCCAAGCACCCAGGGTCCCCTGTACGGCCAGGGCCTGAGGACATAAGTCCTATTAGTGAGCCGGAATTATCACCCATGGAAGAGATCTCTTACACTGGCCAAAGCGTGGAAGGACCCAAGGCGAATTTAAAACTCCACCCAACGGGCACCCCAGCGCTTAGAAAAGGTCGAAGTAACAGTCCTATCTCACCGTCCACCATACAAACTAGGCGCCGTGGGCGATCAAGTACTGTTCGCGAAGATGAATCTGAAGGCAGCAAAGTCAAAAGCGAAATACCTAGTACTCCTGTTGGGACTGATGATATAGACATGGATAGGCGATCTTCAGGAAGACATAAACGTTCATCATTGAGCGTATCGGACGAGAAGACTAGGTCCAAACGAAAACTGGCAGCGACAGAAATAATTGCCGCGGAAGACTCCCACACGCAGCCACAGCATGTTATTTGTACTCGGAACTTTCCACGCACATGCGGGCCCATCATGAACGATATTGCCGCTCATAAACATGCGTCCATTTTCGCGAAACCATTGACGGAACGAGATGCGCCGGGCTACAAGGACCTTATTTACCGGCCCCAGGATATCAAATCAATTAAATCGGCCATTCACCAGGGAAGCAAAGCAGTGGCGGCAGCCTCGGAAGCATTGAACGCAACTGGAACGGATAGTGATCTACCTGGAACATCAAAGGGAAATGGGCTTGTTCTGACAAGGACTGTTGAACTAATGCCACCAAGAGGCATCGTCAATTCGTCTCAGCTAGAAAAGGAGCTAATTCGAATGTTTGCAAACGCCGTGATGTTTAATCCAACGCCCGAAAGCACGTTTGGAGCTGCATTCCCCATGCGAAGCGACTTTGCGTCCCGCGAACAGACGCAGGCGTCCGAACCGGAGGAAGGTGGCATTCTTCATGATACATTAGAGATGTATGAAGATGTTGAGAGAACTGTGTCAACATGGCGCGCGGCAGAGCGGGCTGTTGATGATTTGGGGAATAAAGGTAGCGCCTCGACTTTGAGAGGATCTGCTACCGACGGCAATACAGAAAGCGTGGATGATGGAAAATAGACCTGTGCTCAGGTGTTCGATGTACCTATTATATGAGCCCGGTTGAAATGTAGATGAATCCCTTGGCCATCCATAACGTCACTTGTTGTTTTAAAAGCTGTGATGCTCATGCAGCAGATGGAATGGTAACATCCGGTTTAGTCCTTCCTAGACCATCCTTGGCGTAGAAGTCCATTGGATATATACCGTTATTCGCAGTATCCCAACTCTCACGAACGCCCAAAGCAACAAGTGCCTCATAAGGGGTGAGCAACGGTCGTGGAAACGCGTAGCCCCAGTCAATACTGAGCCTCGGGCAGGCGATCTGCACCCAGCATTCAACGTCAGGCATCGTGGCTAGTTTCCCAGGGAATATCTCGCTAAGTAGCATGTTGACAAACGGGATGCCGCGATCGTTGAGATGCTTTTCAATAAGCGCCATGGTGTTGGGGTTTCCTTGCCGGCCAAGCGCGCCGAGTATAATCCCCCATTTCTTCGCCGACCGAGCGGACCGTATCGCGTCCTTTCGGAGCGTTTGCATTTCCTCGTGGTCGTATCGTTCCCGACTCAGCGTCCTCGAGTATGGATCGTAGCGATACGCGGGAATGGACGGGTTGTGTATCATTGCGGACTCGAGATGAAAGCGGCCATCGCCTAGATACAGGAGGATGTCGACCTCGTCTTTGGGCAGTTGGGGAGAGGTGCAGCCTAGAATCTCGCCCTTGCTAAGGGGCATGATTTGAGGCACCAGGATGCGGAACCCGGCCTTCTCCAGGACGGATCTGAGGCCGTGGAGGGTCGCGTTAAACTGGATGGTGCCTACCACGGCGATTGTCTTGCCGGCGGGAAAGTTTCGCTCCAGGGTGGCGATCAGATGCTGCGTGTCGATGCTGATGTCGACGAAGATGTAGAGGGTTTTGATGGTGGTCACATCCACAGGAATCAAGCAGCTATGGGCATAGTGGACGAGTAAGTCACAGCCCAGCGCTCTTGCAGTGTAGTCATCGATGCAGCATGCGCCGTACGTCACATCTCCCATGATCAGGGTTTCTATTCCGGGGCAGAATTGTGTCAGGATGTCTGAAATCGTGGTTGCGAAAAGGAGGAGGCCCTCTGGAAATTGTAGCGCAACACGCTTTGCGCCAGAGGTTCTTATGCGGTGGATCGTCTTGGGGATTTCGAAGGAGTAATTTCGAGGGAGAAGGGCGATGGCGGCCTTGATGTCTTCGTTGTCCAGAATGTCGGCGGGGATCTGGTTGACTGCGCGCGGGGCTCGGCGGGGTTGAGCTGGACGGAGACACATTGTTAGCGACACGCATCCGCGAGAGATGATGATGATAAGAGTCTCGTACCGGGCTGAATCGCAGTTGTGTGGACTCCTGGACTTCCATCGTCCCGCGCTTGGGATTCAGCGGCTTTTCTGCCCACGAATCTCTTTTTGGGTACTCTTGGTCGGTTCTCACTGCTGGTGGGGGACTGCCCGGCGGCCTGTAGATTGTCTGTCATATTCATAGAGAGAGAAACTGGACTGATGGTAGTACGTAGATCCGTTCCTGTAAGCAGTCGTGGAACGTCCCTGATCCCAGGCCGCGATGATGGATCCTGATATAAAAATAAAAAGTTGGGACCAAGCTCAAATGCAAAGTTCTTGGCGATGGAGATGGCCACCGTCCTGGAATTTGATATTCGCTACATAGTCTGCATCTACGAGTTCGATGTATGAACATAGTAAGATTTAAATTCTCTCGCCTAGTTGCAGATTTGTATTTGTAGTGATTGAAATGGATCGGGCATTACTCGTGGAGACTGCCATTTACTCCTCTACAAAACGCTTCGATCGGAAAATGACCACCTCCAGACACCGCATGCCAGCCCTTTATCTCCATCGCTTCCGCCCTTCCCAGTCCTTGACACTTGCTGGATCTCACCCTTCATCTGTTGGTGATGCTTGACTCCGAGTTCACGGACCAGTGGCGGCGGCTAAAATCGGTCAACGGCGGCGAGGGACCGACTGCCGCGACGGAACCGGGGAAGTCGGGCGATCAGCGGCGGGTTCTTGGACGCGAGATCACCAGAGGGATTCAAGAGAGGTGCGGCCATTGTGTGCACCGGTGCGTTGATATGGCCGTGCTGTAGACTTGTAGATAGCGCGTCAACGAGATATTCCAATGACACCATTGTTAAATCACGATCATGCCGGCGCTAGCCAGAGAGTAGTGGCATAGATCGCTTCGGCCCTTCGCTCCTCGAAACCGTGTGCCCGGTGCGAAGTCCTCGGGGCTTTCACCTGAATAATCATCGGAGCAATAACTAACTAGTTAATATTTTTCACAATTGCCGTGGCGTTGTCTCGCTTCCAGGCAACAGGTCATGGCCTTGCAACTCGTACCTCTGGTTGAGCAGAAAACTAATCTTCCTCCCAACATTTCGGAGAGCAGTTATCCCTGCATACTCGACTTGCGGTTCTGCTTTGCTGTTTTCGAAATCCCTTAACCTTCCTTTGCATCGAAGATTATGCTGTGTTCCAGAGCCGTGCGTCGCCTGCCGCGGCGGGTCGTGTCCGCCAGGCAAACTGTGCGCTGCTTAGCCACTGAAGCCAAACTGTCACCGGATTTTGTACGAATCGTCGAGGTTGGCCCGAGGGATGGGCTGCAGAACGAGAAGAAGGCCATTCCCCTAGAGACGAAGATCGAACTCATCGAAAGGCTTGCGGGCACGGGCGTACAGACCCTCGAGGCTGGCTCGTTCGTACCGGCGAAATGGGTTCCCCAGGTAAGAGACTGAGTGCACGATACCAACTCGACCAGGGAACTCTTCTCTTACTGATGTTTTTGCGCCTGGTGCTAGATGGCAAGCACATCGGATATTCTGAAACATCTTTTAAAATCACCGCCCAAGACATCCAATGCCGTTGCTTTCAACTACCTAGTTCCCAACATCAAAGGACTTGAATCGCTCGTCTCAACCGCCGAATCTGAGGGCTTTTCACTCTCTACCGACTCCTCCGCCTCTGCATCTTCTTCTACCTCTCTAGCTGCACCGCAACATACTACTGAAATCTCTCTCTTCGCCGCCGCCACCGAAGCTTTCTCCAAAGCCAACACAAACTGCACCATCGCCGAGTCCCTCTCTCGCATCGGGCCCATTGTTGATCTCGCCAAGAAGAAGAACATCCGCGTCCGTGGCTATGTCTCCGTCGCACTTGGCTGCCCATACGAGGGACCGGACGTCGACCCGCACAAAGTCGCCGAAATCACTGCCTCGCTGCTCTCCATGGGTGCCGATGAGGTCTCCGTCGCCGACACAACGGGAATGGGCACAGCCCCGAGGACGCAACGACTGTTGAAAGTGCTTACTGCAGCGGGTATTGCCCATTCGGACCTTGCCCTGCATTTCCATGATACGTATGGACAGGCGTTGGTTAATACGATAGTGGGTTTGGAGCATGGAATTCGGGTGTTTGATAGCAGTGTTGGAGGCTTGGGGGGATGTCCGTACTCCAAGGGAGCGACTGGCAATGTTTCGACGGAGGACCTGGTGCACACGCTCCACAGCCTTGGAATGCAAACGGGCATTGATCTGGAGGAGATGTCCCGGATTGGAGATTGGATCAGCAAGGAGCTTGGTCGGCAGAATGATAGTAGGGTCGGCAAAGCTACAGTTAGCAAGCTCAAAGCATAGTTTATCTTGCTTTCATTCAGCTTCGGCTGAAGAATCTTTAATGAACGGGCTGCATTACATATATACATAGTGTTTTATAGTACAAATGTGAGATGAATATGAACATAACCAGTGGCCACCTCATCACCACAGACTTCCTTGTATAATTCAAACAAACATCTGATCACGGGGTATATTGCCTTCTATTCGTCACGTATCGACAATCGTGCGTATCTTGAACGCCCGGTTCGGAACAGTCGCGATTTGGCTGGGGCTCTTGGGCCATCTCGCCAGGGAGAGGATATGGAGACAAACTTCCATTCCAAAGGCCTGCCCCCTGGATGCTCTCGGTCCCGGGCTTTCAATACCATTCATTCCCTTGTTGAAAAACAGTTTCTGACAACCTCCAAAATACTCCCAATCCATCCTGCACTCGTTATCCCACCCGGATCCATTCTCAAAAATCCGTAACCCTCCCAGAATAACTCCAATCCCCACCGGCACCCCATCTCAACGGCTCATTCTTCGGGCCTCCAACCTCCCCCGTCTTTGGATTCACATCCCCTTCAAACTCCGGCTTCACGCCCTGCCGTAAATCCGGATGCAACTCCCCTCCATCGTCGATGCGGAGCTTGTTTTCTTGATCGGTGCCAGATGCTGCAGCTTCCCCCGGTTGGTTTACTTTGGGAGGTGTGCGAGGCGTGCTGAACGCGCCGGTGGATTGACGCTGGAGTTTCTCGAATATTTCTTGCTCTTCTTTGGGGAGGCGGGGCGGAGAGGGACCGGTCTGGAATGGGTTGGATTGGTTGAGGGGGTGAGCGGTTAGGGAAAACGCTCGGGCTGGAATAGTGGATAGCCGCTTGACGGTCAGCGCCCGGAGAGATAGCGTAAACATATCTGCGCCTTTTGGTCGAGCAGTGAACCACTGAGCATGGAGGATCAGGACACCGGCCGCAAAGAGCATCGCAAGAAGTTGACCGCGCTTGTGCTGAGTCATCTTCTGAGCTTAACTAGTTATCGATAAGAATCCTTGGCTGACTTTTGATCCCTGAAGCTTGAGAGTCACAGGGGAGCTTCCATCCATCTCATAGAGCAACTTTCCAGGCGAATTGAGCAGCTGGAGAAGATATTTCACTTGCCTATATAGCTTTCTGGCTCACAATGGCTCTTAATCTTGCTGCTCGTCGAGCTGGTAGAGTTGCTTTCAGGCAACGAGCTGCTGTTGCCGTTGAGTCATTTTCGCAATGGCGATATGCTTCCTCAGCGAGTGCTTCAAATCTTCCGGAAGATGTCAAAAAGCAAATATATGTATGTTTTCCAATTCAATCATACCTGGAGCGTAATCCACTAATGCATGTCACTGCAGAAGGATGCATCCCTTCCCAATCCCGATCCAGGAGCAGATTCAGCTACGGCCGCTTTTGTGAATGAGCGCGCGCCGTATATGGTCCCGACTTACGTGCGGCCGCTTCCAGTCATGGCCAAAGGTGAAGGATGCTATCTATGGGATTTGGAAAATAGACGTTATCTGGATTTGACGGCCGGCATAGCTGTAACATCGCTGGGACACTCCGATCCCGGAGTAACCAAGGCGATCAATGAGCAGGTGCAGTACTGTACTACAGTGGTTAAACCCGTGAAACTTTTTTGCTAATGTTTGAATGAACCAGGCCAGTACTTTACTTCATGCATCCAACCTCTATCATAATAATTGGACGGGGGGCTTGAGCAAGCTGCTTGTGACTCAGACACTGGAATCCGGTGCCATGCGAGGAGCTTCACAAGCTTTCATTTCCAATTCCGGCACCGAAGCAAATGAAGCTGCTATAAAATTTGCGCGAAAAGTTGGCCACAGTCTTGATCCATCTGGCGCGAAGCATGAATTCGTCTCTTTCCACAATTCTTTCCACGGCAGAACATTTGGCGCACTGTCGGCGACTCCAAACCCCAAATATCAGGCTCCATTTGCTCCTATGCTCCCAGGATTCAAATATGGAAAATATAATGACATTGAACAGCTGCCCACTCTCGTCACAGAGAAGACTTGCGGCGTTATCGTGGAGCCCATACAAGGCGAAGGCGGTGTTAATACCGCAACTCCAGAGTTCCTGACCGCTCTCCGCGCCCGATGCGACGAAGTGGGAGCGATTCTAATCTTTGACGAAATCCAATGCGGTCTTTCCCGCACTGGTTCACTTTGGGCGCACGCGCACCCGTCTCTGATCCCCGCCAACGGCACGGAGCCCGCGCATCCAGATATTCTCACCACCGCCAAAGCGCTAGGAAACGGCTTCCCTATCGGGGCAACCATCATTTCTGACGTGGTGGGCAAACACATCAAGACAGGCGATCACGGAACGACATTCGGCGGGAATCCATTAGCGTGCCGCGTTGCCCACCACGTCTTGACCCGTCTCACCTCACAGGAACTGCAGGCGACCGTACTTGAGCGCTCCGAGGTGTTTGTCGCAGGTCTCAAAGCTCTGCAGAAGAAATTCCCCGGTGTCATCTCCGAAATCCGGGGGCGGGGCTTGATTTTGGGGGTGCAGCTGGCCCAGCAGTATTCCTCCCGTGTTGGTGATATCGTAACTGCTGCAAGACAGAGAGGGCTGCTGGTCATTACTGCCGGAGAAGGGTGCTTGAGATTCGTGCCACCGTTGGTGATTAATGAAGAACAAATTCAAGATGGTTTACTAATCCTCGAGAAAGCGATGGAGGAGGTCTTGAAAATCTGAGCGATCAGATTCGACTTCGATTGTGCGCTATACCCTGTAAATTTCTATCCGGTTTCCGCGGTCTACTATTCGCGATTCATAGACGAGAAAAAGCGGTGTTTTCCTTACTGTGTATTGAAATTCGGGACGATGGGTTTTATGATGAACGTATATTTGCTAAAACAAAAATGGATCTGGCTAATTGAATACAGAGCAAAATGTCCACGTAGTTTGGTATGTAATCTACATCCACAGATGTGAGCAGAAGAGCGCCGTTTTTATAGCCATCACGGCGTTCGCGCCTCTTCCCCGATTCCCATCAAACCGCCAGCCAACCCGTTCATCCGCCTATGCAATAAATCTTCCTCGCTGGGCAAACTAGTCAAACTGGTTTGCCTACTTATCCGCATCTCTCGCCTTGCCAGCTTTGACGGCAGGACACGGCCTTCCTTCAGCTTCAAGTTTGATTTTCGGGTTTTCTTCGCTTCTTTGATTGCCCTGGTAATACCCGCGCCGGGGGCCTCCGTTTCGTCGAGAGCCTCGGTTGGCGGCGATGACGAATCGTGTTTACGAGAAGAAGACGATGAGGACGATGAGGAAGAGGAAGAGGAAGAGGACGAGGAGTTGACTTTGGTCATTCGAATACTCATCTCTAGCGGACCGTCTTCGTCGGCAGATGATTCAGCGGTGAGGCCACGGTGGTGCTGCCGTGCTTCACCTGCCACTATATCTGCAACTTCACCCGGGTTGGCGAGCTGAACTCCCGACGGATTTTTTAAAGCTTCGGAAGTTGCACGCTTCCTAACCTGTAGCGAACTTGTTGAACCGTGCCTTTCACCTTCGGTGCGTTCCAGGATAGCATTATCGCGGATATCGCGAATCCACTTTGTGCATCGGAACAATTGCTTTCGTCCCTCTGGGAAGACGCTGACGAAATTCAAAAAGCCGTGAGAGATACCCGGGATGAGCGTAACTTCCACATGAGCTTTCTCGTCAAATTCAACTCTAGATTTCTCCAGTCCTAGCTCTTGACGTTCCCTGAAACGATGGAGTTTAGCCTGTCTAATTCTCCCTGCGAATATGGCAGTGTCATCAACAAGCGGATCTCGTTCGCCAGTTAAGAAGTATGTCTTGGGGAAACGCGCAAGAAGAGCTTCGGGGGCGAGTAGAGGCGACAGAAGAAAATCTGTACTGAAGTCTGGACGGTTATACGGTCCAATATAGAGAATTATCATTGCTCGCATCATTTCCGGGGTGAGGATACGGTCATTAAAATAGGAGATCATTGAAGACACGGCAAGCCGTGTTCTAATTTGTTGAGGTTGCTTATCTGTCATAGCGACGATTTGGGACGCGATGTTCCCTGGTATTGGGTTATCGATTGTGAGATCGTTCTTTTCCACAGCTGAGATAGATGTGGAGGCAGTGTCACCTGCACGGAAACCGTGTTGTTCAGAGAAGTAGTCTCGCAGAACCGAATGGTCTTCCAACCCTTCGTTGGACGGGTGAGGAGTTGTGGTGAGTTTGTAATAATCTTCGCTCTTTCTCCTCAGAATGTTTTGGTTGGTTTTCCTCATATCTCGGTCTCGTATCAGCGACATCTGCTCATCCGTCATCCAACTTCCAATATTCATGTCCAGGGACGGATAGATTAGAATCAGCCCAGATGGCACAGGCAAAGAATCTTCGCCTCGCCATTTTCTTGAGTCGGTACTTCCAGACTGGAGAACCATCAAGGTCAACCCAGCCGCCAGGTTTCCACCCGCACTATCGCCTGTAAGTATAATATTCGGACACGTTTTTCCGCTCAAGCCGATGCATCGCCCCTTTGTCGTAACAATAGTGTGGTATACATCGTAGCACTCATTCAGTGCATAGGGGTATGGATGCTCGGGCGCCTTTTTATAGTCTAAACTTAGTATTGGGACTCCAGTCTTCCCAGCCCAAGCAAGGAGCTTATCATCGCTCGTCCTAGGACTCATCGCCACAAATCCACCACCTGGTATGTCCAGGACGACGGTGTCTTGTTTTCTCAGCCCACTTAAGGGCCCGTTAAAATACAACCAAGCATTCGTCGGTTCCTTATACGATGATTCTCTGGGCCTAGGAATCCGGATCGCGATAGGATCATATGTACAAAACCGCGGCCTCATTAACCTCGAGATGAAGGACAGGTACGGCGTGGTAGCTTTATTCCACGACACACGCAAGTGATCTACCGTTAGAACAGCGCGGACCTTTCGAACCTTTTCATCGGCTTGCTCAGCCGCGATAAGGTAATATATCGAGAAGACGACCGATGCTAGGTCCCGTAGCCACTTTCGTTTGATATTCATCGCAGTCCAAAATCCCGCATCCAAGCCCGTGGTTATCCATGTGGCACGAAAATATGACCGGGAATACAGATTAGCCAGTGGCTCAGGACATTCTAATCCGACGAGTTTAGCGAAATTGCGGGATATGTAGAGTGTCAACATCGTCATAACCGTAGTTTGCCAGGGTGTTAGTCGACTGAAGAGTCGAGAGGACAGAAGTCGTGCGCCGGGTGGGCCATGTTTGTTCCCTCTGTAGAAACCTACCAGTTAGTAACTTGTACTTGATTGATGAAAGTTACAATCTGCACGCACCGTATTAGATATACAAGCCAGAAGAAGACCACGGAAAAGACCTGAATCTTGCGAAACTGGGTAGAGGGCCTACCCAAAACGTGATCTCCGACATGTCAGCAATGGGATCTTAAACAGCTAGAAGTGCAACTTTAGGTAAGGAACATACCTATCATTCTCGCAGCATAGATGGCTCGAAATTCTATGAAAATAGAAGGGAAAAAAGGTAATCACTGAAAGAATCCAGCCACGTAGGGACTTAGAGCGTTTGAGCGTTCGTAACAATTAAGTACCAAGTTCGCAACCCGTTGACAAGATCCAAAGAAAAGAGTCATAAATCATTTAAAAAAAAGCATATAGCCACCCCGTTGATGCAAATCTTTATGCTCTATACATCAAGAGAAATAAAAGCAACGGGCCGTGGCCAAAGAAGGGATGATAGATATATTATCCGGAAGGAGCTGAGCGAGATTTCTCCGTTGCACTTCGTAGCTGAAAGCGGCCAGCTCTGAACTATCAACCGCTCTCACCCACAGGGAGGATAATTCTTCTTGACTTTCTTTGTCTTTCGAATGAAACAAGGCCGTAAACCCGTGTAAGATAGGAGAAGCCCAACATCATCCAAGCACTCGAAAAGATGAAGCTGATATCGCTGTCTTTCATCCCATCCTTTCTACAGGACATGTGATTATGACGCTGCGTGGCATGTGAAAGTCTCGGAATCCGGAGGCTTATTCAGCATGGCAAACTAACCCCTTTAGGCCGAGCATGCCCTTAGTCATCATTGCCACGGCTTTGAATAGCTCCCAATGTCAAATGATGGATTGGGGTGCGTTAGGACTTCTTTGGGGTAAGGTTAGGGAATCTTGGATGCTCTTTGTCACAGCAAAGAAGATCGGACTGACCTGAAAAGCAAGGCGCTATATCTTCTTGCAATAATCCCTTCCATGGCTGACCTGCCAGCTGCACAACCACAACTCAAACACCATACCCAGAAATCCAGCGATGCATATTCCCCCCGAATCGCTCACCGTTGTTGCACCTAGCGAAAATTCGCGATCCTCTTTCGGAACGGTATCTGTGATCTCTGCAAAGGTATTCACATACACCAGGCCGCCAAGTAGCCCTTCCCAGAATATGACTATAAAGACAAGATAGACATTGGGGATGAAATTGAAGAGGGCATGCAAGGTGAGAATTGCAAGATTGGCGATTTGCAGGAAGGATGGGAAATAGAGTTCATGGACACGAAAGAAAGGGGTAGAGGACCGGGAAATAAACACTCCAACCTGGTAAATGGCGTTGTAAGTTGGGTAAAACGAGCGGAAGCGGGTGAACGGGCTCTCATCAAGGGGGAAGAGTAATGTTGGGGCTACCCCCTGATTAATTGTATACTCTGCAATGTAGACAAGAAGAAGCGGTAGCATACTGGGAGGATTCCGTCAATATCGTCCAAATAAAGCCCTGAGGTAAATAATTGGATGCTGCAACTTACAAAGGAAAGAACAAAGCCCTCGCACGCTTCAGATTGATTTTGAATTGCTTCCATGACAACCTTACATCATCAGAAACAACGGGTTGAGCATCACTATTTGGGCGACTTCCAAGTAGCCTTTCATTCTCAGCGTCTTGGGTGTCATGCCCGGGTACGTCAAGATTAGTATTATAATCAATATTGCTGTCGGAATCTCTATCACGTAAAACGCGTTGGTACTCTTCACCAGTCTTGTCGAATCTCCGTAACGGTCCCAAGGGTAACATCATAAAAAAGCTCACAACCATCACTCCCGGCAAGCAGGCCGAAGCTATTAAGGTTGCACGTACACTCAAACCGAACGATGTTGTTGCTAAGGCATACGCCCCTGCACCAACCAGACCGGCTGCGCCGGTGCCACTGCTCCAAGCTGCTAGGCTAAAATGGCCGTAGAAGTGAGTCAGGCCCAAGAAGCTCAGTTCGCCGCCGCCGGAAGACAAACTAGCGAGGATCACGCCGAACATTTTGGCGGAGATAGAGTCCTGTGTAACATCATCTGGGTTGTAGGCGGGCGAGAGAGCCACAATGAGCATTCCGCTGGCAGAAAGGGCAACGAAGATCAGTATCCGAGCAGGATACGGGACGAGGTGTATGAAGTATGGCGCGCAGAGTTTTGTTAGGAACGAAGGAATGACATCGGCAAGAAGGACAACACCTTTAGGAACATCGGGACCCACAAGGTCGAGAGCAGCAGAGAGGATGATGACATAGAGGACGTTGTTAATCAAGCCTGGACGATAAATATCAGCCTCTGTTAAAAAGCCACATCCTCGTTGCGGATCCAACTGATGGAACAGGGCTGGAGTGTTCTGCCTATGATGGGCAATAATGCCGTTAATTCCTAATCATTGCCTACTCACCAAATAGCCAGAATGCAGCACAAACCCTGGGGTCAGCGCCGTGGAACAGCGCTCGAACACGCGCCCAAAACACAGCCCAGGTGGAATCGGGAGCACATGGGAGCGGGAGCATTTCGGAGGATGCGGATTCCGATAAATGGCAAGTCGATCAAGGATTTTGTCTGCCCTTAGTGTCTAGTTAAAGACCGGTACATTGCAAACAACAGCTAACGACCTCGGACAAGTCCACGGAATATGCTTGGGCTCAAGGCAGGAAGATACGCTGTGGCTAGAGCTCAATTCAGAACTGTCTCATACCTAAAAAAGGCCTTGTAAAAGCCTTATGTTTCACTGTAGGATTTTGCAGTTCTGTTGTACATTCAACAGTTGGACGTCGTTGGCTCGACTCGCACGACCCTGGGGTTAGTTATGGGAACATTGTAACTAGCTCCGAATGACTGTAACTAACTAGTTAAACTAGAACCACAAATCCACAGCTGAATCAGTCTGAAATGTTTCCTTCTAGCAACACATGAATCACCATTGCTCAACAGCATTTTGGTCTGATAGATGTTGCCTGGAGGTCACAATGAATCCAGCTTTTCAATTAATGTTTTCTCAGAGAAGAAACACTGATGACTGAGGAGTTACTCATAGATTGCTGATTAGCCAATATGTCTTATTGCTCATATGGATTTGTCTTGATTTTGTGAGCTCTGGTGAACATCCTCAAAACCTCTCAATCTTCTATTAGCATTTGTTGTATTTTCCTTGTTTGATACCCGTTGAAGTTTCTTTCTACCTATTGATCTTGATTAACTGACGACTCGAGACTTTGCCACCCCGCCCACTTCGACAACATGGCTAGTTCGGAGTCAAGCACATTCTCTGAGTCCCATGTTCCTGTCCCAGAGTCTGTCAGTTTTCAATTCCCAACCGAGACAGTCAAGCACCGGGTGATAGCAGAATATCAGGTATGCTGGTTATGTGAAAATCCAGCAACCGAGTTTGTATCAATGGAGGTTGCTCACAACTTAGAAGCACAAATTCCCCTTTCTGTTGTGAGTATTTACTTCACCTGGCCCCTTTTTCTTTTTCCCTTCTCGAACACTCATCCTGTGGGATATACAGCTCCAGAGATGGCAGGCAATGGGCATTTTACCCCAGGGTTTCTATCCGGCGCACTCGAAGAACTTGATTCTCCTATGCGGAACTTGTCATTATGGATATGACTCGCCTTACCCAATCTGGGTAGCTCTTCCGGACCTGAACCCGTTTATCGCTTTTGAGAAAGAAGACTACGAAACTAGGACACAGGCAGCATTGAACGGCGCTCATCAACCAAGAGCATTGCTAGAGCCCCAACAAAATGGGACACTGTGTCGTCCATATATCTTTAGAGATTATCAAAGTCGCTTCCCGAGTGTGGTGGATTGGAATTCTTTTCCCAAGCGGTTCATGGGCTGTCCGCAAACCATGATTTTGAAAGCTTTGCATGGCTGTTTTTTGCCATACCCACCTGATGCCATCCAAGATGCTCATGGACACACTATAAATGGCGGCTTGCCATCTGATGTTGCTGATAACTTGAACGAATTGATCAAGCTTTGGAATCGGCCAGATCCAAAGGTGCAGAAACCGCGTCACAAACGGAAGCGAGATTCTGGCAGCGAGGACGGAGAACAAACCGATGAAGAGGATGACGGTAAGGGTAGACTCGGTCGGCGTGGGAAGGAGGGCCCAACTCAGACAGGGCTTAAACAACAGAAATCCGGCCTGCGTCGCAGCGTCAGACGGACCCAGGGATCAGGTGAACCTGTGGCCTCTCAAAGCGCGCTGGTAGTAGACCAGTGGTTACAAGGGATTCAAGACAGGAAGCCTGCATGTGCTGAACCTACCTCCGTTCCTGCCTCGCCCCCGATCTCAAACCATTCGAGAGAACAAACACTGCCAAATCGCGATGAAAAAGAGCGGGCGAGCGGACCATACGAACACTGGGTGCTTGGGCCAGAAAAAACGGCGGCAGACACAATGGCAGACGCAGCCAGATGGCAGTATATTCGGGAGCTTAACGAGAGAGATCGGAAAGCCCGTCAAAAGGCCCAGGAGTGAGCACGAGACATTATCACTAGTAGGGGTCCCAAATACTGTTTCAAAAGCGAAATGAACATAAGTGATGAATCTACGCGGTTATCACGAACACCAAATTCCATCGTTTTAGAAGAATGTAGTCAAAACTGGTATGAAAAAAAAAGAAAATAAGGTTGGTTTCGAGGGCACTCTAAACTTGGCTTGATTATAAAACATAGTAATACTCCGTAGGGATAATGCATACTTATCATGTTTATCACTAGGAAATGGGCAGCATGGCAAAGTTCTCTTCCACCAGGCGTAGTATTCGAAGCTTAGACTGAGCACTTCCAGTTGTGCGTAGCAGGGATAGGTGGTCGTCCACAGGTAACAGGTCGATAATCTGTCAACAATCATCATCCAATAGGTGTGGTCGCCGGGAAAGAGACACGGCGAGCTGCAGAATGCAGGTTATTCTTCGTGTAACGAGTCTGGAAGAAGCCCTGGTGATGCCAGCATTCAATTCTCCAAGCCCGTTAAAGGGTTTTTGACAGTACGGAGTAGGAAGGAGGATATACGGTACACAGCCCAAAAGTCAATGATAAAAGTGTTGTTGCAGTGCTGATTGTCCTTGCGCCTGAAGCTCGCCACACAGAACCACGCGGATGAAAAAAGAACGTCAAATAAATCCAGACAAGTTTGAATCCCGATACACAATGCTGTGACACAGTCAATCGAGAGAGGTTGTGCGACCGGAGGGGAGAGAGGTTAATGGTACAACGGTGTGCGACCTAAAATGCAAGCTGATGAGCAATCATATGGGTAGGCTAGAGAACACGCTCTTGTTGGCCTTCTTCAGAGGCTAGCAGTTTGTGCCTGCATGCGTTATATTTTGCTAGCCAGAGGGGGGATTGAGATACAAACTATCTACCAAGTGATCGGTTGATATGGAAATCAGGGCATTGACAGCCAGGTCATGGGTGACGTATGAACTGAGAGTCGCGTGATGGCGTTGGGATGATGATGCGGACAGAGGATATTCCCACCATCTTAGATAGTTAGCAAGGGGCAAGCAAGGAGGTAGTTGTCAAGGTGGTCTCTCAAGGCGGGCATCAGTGACTGACGGTCAGTTGCAGTTGGCGATGTTTTGGTAGCCAGCCCCGCGATGTTGCAAGGAGTCTGAAGAACCCGCTAAACCCTCTTTAGAGTAGGCGCAATCCAGGGGAAAATCTGCTTTCCCCGGACCCGAGCCCCACCTTCCCCAACTCTGGCCGGTGCTTCCTGATGTGGTAATGACGTGTTCGGCTGGATTTGATTCGAAGGAAGGGGAAGGAGGGATGCCTGACTGGCTTCTAGAACCCGGAATAGGAAGGAATGCGATGAGTGTTGTTTGCTGTTGTTTCGCTCTGTATTTACATATACTCGGGATGATTGATCCTGGCTGCCCTAACTTAATAACTCTCCCTCCGAGCTCCCTGTCAGCCACATCGGGTTAACCGCCCAGACTAGTTAACGAGGTCATTCTGGAGCTCGGCCTTCAATCCCTATTCGTTCGTGATGCCATGCGTTGAATGATTCGCTCTCCATATTAATGCAAAATAATACTGGATCTGTCTCCCGCCATTTTCAAGCTCTTTTGGTAATTCTATCCACTCGTAGCCAGCGCGTCCTCTCGACTCAACTAACTACCGAGATCCCCTGCCTCGTGATGATTAGTTTTTCGTCTCTTCTCCCTGAATGCGGCCCCGGCCTTGGCAGAGGCGTTTTTGCTTTTTCCCGCGCTTTGCTTTTTCTAGTATGCAAATCTCGAGGCAATAAGAAATTATTTTTTTAGTTCACGCGCGGCTGGTACAGCCAACCCACCCTGGACGCGGAGCTGCTGCATGCTCTGATTTTTTTTATCCGTGATAATACCATTTATTTGCTTTTGCTATTATTAACCATCCTTCGTTTTCCGTCTTTTTCTTTCTTCTGTTTCTCTGTTACTCACTCCTACATGCTGCATATGTCCCGAACCTGATGTTCCTTGTTCAGGCATTTCTGCACAATCTGCATCCCCCATTGACGACTTCATCTTCATCCCTCGCGCCTGATCATCAACATCGTTTGTTGGGCTCTGGTCTCTGATAGGCGCGAACCCTGTCCTACACAGTTCACCGGGTTTCATCCTAACCCTACCCTCAACACTCTGTTCTCAATCAAGCACCTATGCGTTCTACACTTTAGGCACTCCATCCTTGGAGCTGCGAAATAATTCAGTCTTGTCCCATTCAGCCTGGCCGCGATGGAGCCGCCGCCTCAGCCGTCCAACTACTCTCGTCCACCACCCTTTGGCGGTCCACGCGAGTCCTCTCTTCCGTCCCTACCGTCTCGTCTATTCGGCCCATCGACTACGAATCTCACGAATGGTCGATCACAACAGCCTTACGATCCATTAGGCCGCAGAGAACCGGATGCATCACCACGGGGTCCTCCGCCAACACCACCTTTGCCAGTCGGCTATCCACCTCACTTTTTACCTCGCGATGGCATATCCCATCCCAACGCGTCTCAGTCTTCGTCTTCATCGCCGTCGTACCTCTCTACGCCACCTATTTCAGACTCATACTCTGCTTATCGCCCGCCGTCGCGCCCCTTGCACGAACTGAGCATGAAGCACGGCCGCAGTGTTTCAAGGGATCATAATACAACATACCATGAGGGTAAGAGAGGCAACTCAATTTCTTAGATTTTATTACAGAGTACACCTCTGCGTTTCCTTTTGCTCGCCATATCCGCCCCGTGGCCCTTTTCACAGCTGGTGCGCACGGACCACCAGAAAACAGAAACCAGCGTTTCTCTGGTTTGTTTACCAACACCAGCGATTTGTTGTTCGTGTCCCCGTCATATAACCACGTCACTCGCATGGCTGCAGTTTTAATATGGTCAGCTTCCCTCGCTCCTAGCCAGGAACATCAATAAAACGCAGCGGACATCATGCTCAGGAACCAGACCCGGGCTATATTTGGTTCCCGGGCCAGCAAATCAACCGCGATCCTCGTGTCGCCCCCAACGCTAACCGTTTTAAGGTTTCTTGAGCTATTCTTGTCTTGGACTAGCGTGAACCTAGCCAACGCGGTCCAAAATCCCGAGTCCCGTGACCTGCACCTTTCCCCAAAATGGATCTCATCTCATCTCCAATTCAGCTGTTTGCCATTCCATCGTTCTGAAGCACTGAACCCAAACTGACTTGGCCTCTCCATGACGCTTCACAGCTTCGGATCCCTCACCGCCAATGTCTCGAGAAATGTCCCACCATCCACAGTCGTATGATCAGCTTCGAAGAAGGTCCCTAGGAAGTACTGGGAGTCCCGTTTATCCAGGTGAGTCGCGTTGCTTGCGGGCTATCTAACATTGGCGAACAGACCGCAATCTTGTCGCAAGACATCACCGATAGTACAATGCGGCTCTTTCACCCTCTTAAGTGCCTGTTTGCCTGAAAAAACGATTCTCAAGTAGCTAACGCGCCAATTCTCAACCCCCTAGGCCACCCTGACCACCAACCACCTCCTCCCTCTTCATCCTTTAGCGGTCGCCAAATGCCTCCTCCTTCTCCTCCGCCACACTTTCAAGGTCGTGCAGCTCCAATCCAACCGCCTCACCAGCCCACAGCACTTTCGTCAAATCAAACACCTTTTGCGCCACGTAATCCTCCACCGGGCTCGTCATCGCATCGGAGCGGAAGTAGCATGCCAATAGCCTCAATGCTTGGGTCGGACGCCGACAGGCCGTCTCGGGAACCAAATACCTCTTCTTTATTCTCCCGGCCGCAGATACCTCCCATGTCTCCGGCCCCAACGAATCCTTCAACCTCGGGGAAAATGTCACCGCCACCGTCACGGCCTCGACAGCCTTCAGACTTTCCGCAGTTTGGGAGATCTCATACCCCGGATCGAAGCATCTTTTCAAGGCCGACCTCTCGTTCGTATCGTTCGGACTCCACGTCAGCGGCACCCCCCGTCACCCAACCTCCCATTGAAGATGGTCGTCTTAGCAGCTTACCGCGTCCTCCCCCCGCGCCGTATGGAGACAGGCAAATGCCACAATCCCCACGTAGTGTTTACATGGAACCATCATACCCTTCAGCGGACCGACGCATGAGTCTCGGCACACCGATACAACGACCCAGCAGTCAGCCCCAACACCTACCCCAGCCCGAAGAACCCTCGACTCGGACGTCACTGTTTACCCAAATCAGTCGATCGACACCCGGGTTTGGGGACAAGGGAACTGATGCTCAACGAACTGGAACGGGGTATTCTGTAGTTGAAAGTTCGCATGCGCCATCGAGGCTCGGCGGATTGTCCTCCGAACCACACAATCGAGAACCAGTTCGCCGTGAGCACGGTCAAGAACCTAAACACCCACAGCAGCCGCATATCCGCTATGGACCACACCATTCAGATAGGGATGAGAGACAGTCGCGGACGGCTTGGGAATCGAATTTGCCCCGTTTATCCCCTGAACCCAGCCGCTATGCTCCAGGGGAACCAGGTGGAAATTTTGGCTTTGGAGGATTACACACATACAATAAACCTGTTGGGTCACAGGCTGGCATTACTCGCACCATTCCAGGACCTCAATTACAACCAAGACAGGAGGCACCCCCTTCACAAGAGTCTTCTCCGTCTACAGCTCGAAGATTCCCTAATCCTCCTCGGATGTATTCACCTGCTCCTACCCCAAGGCCACCATCATTTAGCACGCCTGGAATGGAAGATCATCACCCGTCTCGCACGAGCGTTGACGAGCCTCTACACCACAGAACAATCTTAAACTTGAATGTGGACAATAAACGCGGGAGGGTATCTCCTTTGCCCCAGGCTGTACAAGGCGCCCAGGCTCAATTGATTGGGCCAGCGGGAGAGCCGGGGATTCAAAGCGAGCTAGGGAGAGTATTTTCCGGCATTGGTAGCGGGGTTAGCGTATCGGGCAGTGGTCCGCCCACGCCATTAGGTGCAGCGGCCTTCAAGAAAGACATCACTGGTCGTACATTGAACCCTGACCATAATGAAAGCATTGGAACGGGGGCTAAATCGTCACGATCAAACTCCCGCCGAAGACGTAAGATAAAGGATGAAGAGGCAAAGGAGGAAGCTGAAGCTATCCAGCGCGAAACATTTTTAGCACGTGGTGGTGGTGCGGCGAGAAGAGCCAGGCATGTGCATCACCACCATCATCATAGTCATCAGTAAGTCTGCCTTTCCAGAGCGCGCAGGGAGTTTATTCGCGCTGACCTCTGTTTTTAGCCATCATCACCACCGACATAAGCCTGACGATGATACCGCAAATCTAGCCGCTCCGCCAAATGGCTCGTTGCCGCCAAATGCCATTGACAGACCTATTCCCTCACTTACTCCGGCATCACATCACCATCATCACCATCATCATCACCATCACCACGTTCCACGATCTGGTGTTCCTACTCCCTACCAAGCATCGGGTCCAACAAAAGAATACAGCACCGTTGTTAAATTGGACTCGATCCTAAAAAGTGTTGAACACTTGCCTCGGTACCATCTTGGCTCTACACTCTACGCGCCTCGCATTAGTGTCCCGTCTCCGAGCGCACCACCTGAAGCAGCAAAATTTGGCTACTCGACTACTCCCGTTCCTATTCCACGGTTCGATGGCAAAGAAAATTGTACGTTTACAATACGTGTGCCTCGGTTTCGGATTGACGGTCCGCGACGGGAAGAGATCTGTGCGAGAAGAGCGCTCTGGGGCACCGGGGTGTACACTGATGACTCTGACCCTGTAGCGGCAGCAATTCATTCGGGGTTTATTCGCGGCGAATGGGGTGAAGACGTGGATATCTCAATGCTGGATCTTGAGATCAAGGAACAGCACCAACACGCCCCACGCACAGCAAATGGTGATACTGATTCTACCCCGAAGAATGTGGCGAGCGATAAGACCGGATCTGAATCAGAAAAGCAGAAGGCAGCACGGAGAGTGCCCCCCGTCCCGCCGCCAGATAAGGATCTTCACATCACCCTTGTTATCTTGCCGCCTCTCGAGCAGTACGAGTCCAGCGTCATGTTTGGCTTGAAGTCGCGCGCTTGGGGCAACAATCATGACGGGATGAGCTTCAAAGTGGAAAAGATAGAATGGGTGGACGAAGGGGCTTCTAAAGGCCAGGAACGGGGCGGCGAAGCGCGTCGTAAGAGGTTGAAAGGCATGATGCATTCCGGACGGATCTGCACTGCTGGCGGATTAAAGGGAAGGGGAGGAGTTGAACTTTTGAAGAAAAAAACCAGGCCTGGGAGCGAGAAGGTAGCAGCTGTCTCACCGGGGAACGAAGAGTCTAATACAGCTCCGAAAGTAGTTGAGCTGGCATCTTGAAGTTATTTTTTTTTGAATCTAGGCACACTTTATTTATGAGACGAGCGGCCCTTTTTCTTGTGTTTGGCGCGTTTGACCTGTCTACCTCAAAGAGTTGTCCGCCCTAAGTTGATGATTTTTGATATCACTATATTTTCAAGTGAGAACTAATATCCACTCGACCTTTTTGAGCGTGGTGCATTTAGCTTGCCGAATACGAATCCTGGCACCCTGTCCTTTGCTACACCTCATTTTCATCACTCAACGCCTTCCCTGAACATTTACAGGTTCGTCCTTCAGCAGTTTGTTGCTTCAGCTGAAGATCGATCACATGCCTGGGATGTGCTGCTGTGGACGATTGAGAATCTTCTTTCCACATGATTTTCAGTAATCAAAAGGATACTGCTGGACATTCATTGACAACTAGCAGGCAACAGGGCACAGACCTCCCTCACATTGACAACCCATTTGATGATGATGCTTGAACTATTTCGCTCCGTCGTTAGTTACTCAGCACCGCGGCGCCAACCGACGGTTGATTTGATCAAATGAGCCGAGGCTCGGCGGAAAAACTCGGATTTGCGCGGCAGGAGGCTTACATAAGAAGAGCAGGTGTGGATTAGCGGGGTTACGAATCGACCTTGTGATGGATCGGGGCGTCGGGCAGATGGAAATGAGGGCGGATGGGAGGCGGGGAGGAAGTGCTGCGGATGACCAGATGATGAGCGAGAGATATCTGTAACTCCACGGTCGACTCTTTGCGGAAATCAAACAGAAAGGAACAAAAGACAGCTGCTCCCGTTCTCAACCCTCCTGTTGTCGATGCCGCCTGTTCACCAGCTATCGAGTTCGTTAGTCAGATCTCCATCAAGCCGAGGAACCGCCAGTGAATCCCTCCCTCGTCTGATCCCGATCCACTAGAGCTTTTCTCTCGCTCCCGGTCGTGCCTCTCCTTTCTCTTTTCCTTTATTTTTTGAGATCACGCAGGCTCTGGTGTTGTCGTTGCTCAATCTTTTCATCCTCTTGCCCTCCCGTGCTTTCTTGGGATGTTCCAAGCTGCTGCCAGAGGCCGTCTCGTTGCTCTTGGACGTGCTTCAGTACTCGGCCCCACCCGCATATCGGTACGTTCTTTTTCATCCCATGAGTAGGGAAATCGTTCAGCGTAGATTTCGGAGGAACTGGACTTGTTTGAGTAGGGGAATACTTACTGTGCTTCACTAGGCTGCTGCAATGGCCCCCCGCCGCGCCAATTCGTCTGTTCCCGCAGGCTACAAGGAAGACCTGTCCAAGGGACGCATGCTCCGATTTGAAGACTCCCTCCCACAACTGCCCGTCCCCACCCTTCAGGAAACCGGCCAGAAATACCTGAAATCACTGCACCCACTACTCAGCGCTGAGGAGTTCAAGCGCTCGCAAAAGGCTGTGGAGGACTTTGTCAAACCCGGCGGCGAGGGTGAGACGCTCCAGAAGAGACTGCTTGCCAAAGCTGCGGATCCAAAGGTGCAAAACTGGTTGCATGACTGGTGGAACCATGCTGCATACCTTGGATACAGAGATCCCGTGGTGCCGTATGTGAGCTACTTTTACTCCTATCGGGATGATCGAAATAGGAGGGATCCTGCGAAGCGCGCCGCAGCGATCACAACGTCTGTGCTAGAGTTCAAGAAGCAGGTCGATGATGGATCGTTGGAGCCGGAATATCTCCGCAAAGAGCCAATGGCGATGAGCTCCTACGAATACATGTTCAACTGCTGTCGTGTTCCTGCAGAGGGTGCGGATTATCCTCAAAAATACCCTGCGCAAGGCAACGAACATATTGTCGTTATGCGCAAGGGCCAGATATTCAAGGTGCAAACCCACCTGAACGGTCAACAGCTCAACACATCCGAACTTCAGCAGCAGTTTGAAAAGATTATGAAGAATGCTGAAAGAGTCCCTGCTGTTGGTGCTTTGACTTCGGAGAACCGGGATGTTTGGACCGCGGCGCGCAAGAACTTGCTTGCAGCTGACCCAGCGAACGCTGATGCTCTCAAGACCATTGAAAGTGCTTCTTTCCTAGTATGCCTTGACGATTCCGCTCCGGTTACGCTGGAAGAGCGCGCACATGCTTACTGGCACGGCGACGGCGCCAACCGCTGGTACGACAAACCGTTGACATTCATCATTAACGACAATGGCACAGCTGGTTTCCTTGGTGAGCACAGCATGATGGATGGAACTCCTACCCACCGACTCAACGACTATGTGAACAACCTCATCTTCAACAACCGCCTTGACTACTCCAATCCTTCTATCCGCTCCAACCTCGCCGAACCCCAACCCGTCAACTTCAAACTCGATTCCGCCGTTCTCGAAGACATTGCCACCGCGCAAAAGGACTTTGCCACTGTCATGAGCAAGCACGAGCTTCGCGTTCAGGCATTCCAAGGCTACGGCAAAGCTCTGATCAAAAAATTCAAATGCAGCCCAGACGCCTATGTGCAGATGCTCATCCAGCTCGCCTACTTCAAGATGTACGGCAAGAACCGACCCACCTACGAATCCGCCTCCACCCGTAAATTCAAGCAAGGCCGCACTGAAACCACCCGCACCGTCTCCGACGAAAGCGTCGCGTTCTGCAAGGCCCATTCCGACCCGTCCGTGCCCCGCGAGGAAGTCGTTAGATTGTTCCGTGCCGCGTTGTCCGCGCACACAAAGTATATTGCCGACGCGAGTATCGGCAAGGGTGTCGACAGGCACTTGTTTGGACTCAAGCAGTTGATCCAGAATGGTGAGAAGGTCCCTGCACTCTATCAGGATCCGGCGTATGGATACAGTAGCTCGTGGTATTTGAGCACGAGTCAGCTGAGCTCCGAGTACTTCAATGGGTACGGATGGAGTCAGGTCATCGATGATGGATTCGGTATCGCGTACATGATCAATGAAAATAGGTGAGTCTTGATGGTCCCTTTTTTTTTTTTTTTTTTTTTTTGGTTTTGCGATGTTCTATTTCAAAAAACTGATGGTTGTTGTAGTTTACAATTCAACATCGTCTGCAAGAAACTCGGTGCTGAACGGATGAGTTTCTATCTCAACGAAGCAGCATGTGAAATGCGTGATGTCCTCATGCCTGACCTAGTTGCCCAACCGGAGAAGGCGAAGCTGTAAGATGCTGGCCAAAGGGAAGTTTTGGGCGGAAAACATGGAGTATCGTGCCCGTGGCGTTATATACTCAGCCTTTCAAGACAGCCATTTTCGTGTGTTTCGTTATTTAGAGGTATACAACGGCTATATTATTTTTTTATTTCTTTAGCGATTGAATTGGACAAGTCCGTGGGATATCCTAACGATATTCGTCCGAGTCAAGACCTTTTTTTGAATTCAAGACTTATTCTCCTTTCGACTTCCTCTTTCTTTTGCCCTGCTTTCTCTAATAATGATACAAGTACATGAGGTACATATATTGGGTACATGAGATTAATCCCTTTCGTGTGTAATACACACTTCTCGCGCGATATTCCAACATTCGTCCAAAGACGCCAAACTCCAGTCCTAAACACAAAAACTGGGTTGTGTGGAAACCGAGTTGACTTTATAGATACCCGAAACGGGCTATGATTGCTGTTGGTTCGGGAAATGATTCTGTGTATGCCTGCTCGGCGTGAGGGGTGGAGATATCCATTTCGCATAGGCTGGTATGCATGCGGGGGGGCCGTAAATCAAAGGCCGTTTCACAGTTGAGCGGGGGGGGATCCTAGTCACTCTTCATTCTTTTTCTCGTTCTCGAGAGCGCGATTGGGAAGTGGAAGGCGCTTCACTTTCTGTTATGCTTGGGGTTACTATGAGTGACTCTGCGGAGGTGGAGGTAGAGGCGGATGTTGTCAAATTTGACGGCTCGCTTGGCACGTACGGTGAGGAGGCTGTTAACTCGCTGATTTGCCGTTCTACACGAGATTAAAATTAAAGCTTCAAGGAGACAGAAAACGGCTGATGCTTACCTAGCTCCCTAATCCTCTGACGCAGCATTTGATTCTCACGCGTTAGGTTCGCCGCCTCAGCTTGATAGTATGCACTCTCGTCGCGACTGCATTGGCGTCCGGACCCGTCATTCCCTAGGCCAAGCGTATCTGGGGCAGATAAGTTGTAATCCGATTGGAAGCTGCTGAGTCGTGGTGCAATTGGTATTGGGGCAGTAGAGTCAGAATCTCGCCTCCGTGAATAGGTAGGAGGAAACTGGAGCGAAGGTCTGCGGTCACGACTAGAAGCCGCTGGCGGTAGTGGCGGAAAGAATACGGACCGTTCTGAAGTTGGAGTTGAATCTTCGACCGCGGTGCCATTAGCTGAATTTTGCCGATGCTGCATCTGTTGTATCTGAGCCTGCTGGTTACGGATCATCAAAAGAAGGCGGTTCTAGAAAAATATCGTATCAGTTAGTTTTCTCCTCAGTAATAGACAATCAATGAATGTTCATACCACTTGGGCTTCCTGTTCCTCTTCTAGCTCCTGATGAATCTCTCCCAGTGAAGGCGTCCGGTGATGGTGGTGTGGATCACCAGTTGCAGTTGAAGGACTTCCGACTAAGCTCGATGGGCTATACAGAACAGAGCCTCTCCGCGAATTGCGATTATCACCGAGCAGCTCCCCAGGACCAGGCATAGTGGGGTCATTGAGATTCAAATTCATTGCCACAAGTGAGCGTCGCCGTTCTGCAGCTCTGTTTTCGCGTGGCGATCTGTTTGACGACTGACGGAGGAGATCCGCCGCGTTGATGGTCGCCGCAGCCTGCAGGGAGACAGACGAGCGGGGAGGAGGCGATTGGGAGCTAACATCTTCTAGAGACGCTTGCATGGTGCGAGTTTGGAAGGGCGATGAGGAAGAGGAGCGGGAGGGAGGAAGTGAATTGAGATCCGGGGGCATGGCTGGCTATTTCAAGTGGCGATATTGACAAAGACAGGGAGATGTTGTTGCTGTTGCTTCTGATATCAGTCTCGGGTGGTGTCATCGGAGCCGATAGTTAAGCATCATGACATAAGCATTGGAGCAAGGATGAAGCTCGACTTGGCCGAGTTTGGTGCGTTGGTGGCAATGTCTGCGTCTGTATCACTGCTACATTTTGTATACCCATTGGATTGTGTCAGCAATGATACATGCTATAGCAAAGTCACTGGAATGAGTGACAGTTCAAATTGTCTGGCAGGCTGGTGAAGTGAAGTTGTGCAACACTCTCTCCCAATTATGGTGAATTCAAACAGTCAACAGTTCCCTCACTCTGGTCTAGAGAGTGAATGCATTGTAGCTTCATGGCCAACTGCAGAGCTATAAATACCAGTCATCCAAGCTGAGCTTCCTTTGCTCTCCTTTTAACTACTATAAAGGAAGATTCTTTGATGCCAATGCCATCACTGGTGTCTGACCTTTACATTTTTCCATATTACTCCTACATTCTACTATACAGAGCGAAAAACTATTTCACACCTATATATTTGCAGCAATACCTGGCATCTGGATTGAGTAGCCAGTGAACTCATGGCAGTAGGTTGCTATACTTGATTCTGCTCGCTATGTTAATATGTTCTAGTCTCTAATCAGCCTTAATAGCCCACACATTCTATCACGGCTATCACCACCTTACTATACTTTTACACACTCATAGTGACATTCTCACTTATGCACCTCTTCATAGGCTGCCTTTTTTGCTTGATTCAACCTAATAATTGACAAAGCAACCCAGGTTTTAAAGCGTGTTTTCAGGCGATGGTCGCGCCAGGCGTGCGAGAGGTTCAAGCGACGACAACGAAGACGAACCACCTAGCGGGTTCATCAATGAAGACTTGAGGGCCGGAGGGCCGTACCTCTGCCCGCTTCCAGTTTCATGGTTTCCGTTCCCAAGCACCCACCAACTGTTGATGTATATCGTGTTTGGACATCGACTCTGAAAGGTGCTCTCATATCAATTACAATATCTACATCAGATGTGCACCTGTTGGTTCTTATCAATCTGGTGCCAACAGGGTTAGCAGCAGTCTCAACTAGGAAAATCCCCCCTCAGCTTTGACTATCAAATTGCTGATCTCTTGCGTGGGGAAATATTAAGAATCATACCGCACCACTTGAAATGTCACTGGCTTTGGTCAGGTTCGATATGGACTGGTGTCTAACTACAGATTAGCGTTAGCAACACTTCGAGCGCAGATGGCAGCACTTGCATACGCTTGAAATGCGTCTTGCCACCGGGGTCGAAGGCAACCGCTTTTCAGACCGTATGATATCATGAATACAGAGCCCTTATCGGGTTATATGCATCATGCTGTGCATGGGACCCTCCTCTATCATTCATTCCTCTGCGAGACCTTTTCCCAAAAGCGGGAACAGAATCGGAAAAGTCATTTTCCACTCTTGCAGAAGCAGGTTGATCAGGTCAAGCCTCTGGTGGTGCAAGGGCTGATATACCACATAATCCGATTGTGATATGGACGCATGATGTTCTTTGAAGTTGCCAGACGTTTCTCCGCTCGGAGAACAGAGGCGTCCTAACTTTAGCAGCGAATATGATGCCGATTGACCAAGCGATCACATTGTTGGCGGCCTTGCAGTGCCTTTTAGGTCTCCTGGATACCTGGTATCCGGATCAGTGATTTCTCTGGGGCCAAGTGCTGTATAAACCATGGAAGAGGTCCTCGAGTGGGAAACTAAATACTGGCCGGGCGGTAACTGGGAGGAACAGGTACGCCTCATAACTCAGCCACTGCGTCCAAACACCAATATTCGATAGGCCCGGGTTATTTTAGGCCAAGGAGATTTCCTCAGCGTAAGTAAATGTCAGAAAGGAGGTGCAGTGCTTAAGATATGCCGGACTAACATCTTGTATCTTGATCAAGAAACAAAGTTAGGGTAGAGGACTCACGATTTGGGCATTGTCACAAGAGAAAAAGACCAATGTAGCTACGGAGGAGCAGTGTTTGCTGCGTTAGTGGAACTGAAGGTCTCACAGGCCGGTATGCCATATGGACCCTGGTGACAGCGAGCATCGATATGGAGGCGTTGTTCGTGTCGAGGATCCTAAACATGACGTCGATCACTTTGACAGCGAGGGGCATTTCTGACTTCAATTTTAGCTCGCAGTGATCAATGCTTGGAGATGTTTTCTTTTTTCCTTTTTCTTTTTCGTGTTCTCACTGCTCAGCGACTCACAAGAATGCGGGGAACGGGCGGCAGTGTTTGTTTTGCATGAGTGTTCAATGATAGATTTGGGCAAATATCATCAGACATTTAAATCGACTTTTTACTCTATCATCCTCATCCGGAGTCGCCATCCTTTGATCCATCGCAAGAGCCTAATGCCGAATCCCTGCAGCTTCTGTCGCAGACGCAGTGTTCCCGACCGCCCGCCGGGTTTCTCACGGCGAGCTCCCCATCATGGCTCCTTGAGAGAAAGTCAATTGGAGCAGCGTCTCGGCAACGCATGCAAACCCCTTGCGTGTTGTCACCAACAGCACCATGGTCTCAACTAACGATCGACGGTGGGTTCATCGTCCACTAGCTGCTGCGATGGCGCTGCCTATGGCTCTCGACTAGCCCTCTTTGGCCTGAGCGCTCACCTTGTTTTCGGCGCCAGGGAGCGAAGAGGCGAGACGTGCACGCAGAACACGAGAAACGCGAAACGAGCTGCTCCCTGCTGAACTCCAAGAAGCTCATTTTGCTGCTTTTCTCGACAGTGTCGTGCCTGGTAGTATTCAAAGGGCGACGCGAAATTGAAAGGGTACATCGACAGGGAAACGACCGCGACTCTTCGGTGTCTTCTCTGCAAGGGAGGCCTGTTAATTCCGTCCGAGGTTGTTGGCGAGGAACCTGCAGGGCCCTTGAGAACCAGCCTTGCTCTGGTTTCGCGAGTGGGCCGCTGACAGCCTGGTTTGGGGCGTGTGATGGAGCCGATCCGAAGGCCGATGCGCAGGCCCAGAAACACCGGATGTGACAACTTTTTAGGGCCTCGAGCCACAACGGAGAATAAAAGACGAGAATCGTCAAAGCCGCGTGTGGGAAGTCATCGTGGGATTCCTTCGACGTCTCGTCCTGCTGGGGGTTGAAGCATCTGCTGTGTTATGAGAACCTCCCGTCGGCCTGGGATGCTGGTCGCTCGTCTTCGGGATCTTGTGCGCACCATCCATTCTGCTAGAGTTCCTGTTGTTGACATCTTGGTATCACAACTGAAAGCTTGACGTTGTGAACTGGTCGACGTCTGCCCCAGACGTGACACCCGCCCGTTCTCGCTGTCATCCCACGATATCGAATCACGCATTTCCCGGTTTACTCTGATCGGATCGCAGCAGATTCCGCGAGACTCCACTGGCCATTCTTTTTATCCGGATTTCCCAGTTTGCGTCATCCAAACGGCGACCAGTTCCTGCGCATCATCGAGTGCTACTCTGTACCCGTGCACTTGACCATCGATGCCAATTGATATACCATATTGGTATGTGCTAACCCGCTTGATATTTCTGGAGCTTTGCCGTGCTTACTGACCTGGTTTTGCCTGTTGAAAGCGCCATGCCAAGCTGCCTGCAACTGGTATGATCGAAGCCGAATCAAACGCATCAGATAGCTCTATCAAGCTACCAAAGAGTTCTCGGCAGAATTGCTTGAAAAAAGAAAGCTATGCTTGGTTAAATCGGCCCCATGGATTTACAGCAGCAACCACCTCCAACGGGATTTCGGACACGCCCCAAGCTCCCGCCGATCCAAACAACCCTCAACAAACGGGCATCAATGCGACCGAAACCGCCGCCTCCCGAACAAGTAACGGGCTCAACGCCTACAGAAAGAGTTCCGTTGAAGGAACCAAGAACCCTGACCTCAAAATCTTCTCTGAGGTCGTTTATTAACAAAACAAGGGCGATGCGGCGGAATAGCTCGAAGAATGACAATTCCCCTTCCCCCATCGCAGAATGGAGGCCCGTTACTAACGACAGCCCCGTTTCCAATCATCAAATTACCCCTACGAGTGCAGATCGAGCTCCCAAAGCAGTCAAATCCTCCAGTGCTCCAGCAGTGCCATCGTTGGCGAACTCACCGTCTCTCAACACTACCCCAAAGCTTTCCAAATCGGTTAAGGAGAGAAAACGCCGGACGATTCCTGCTTGGGAGCCTCCACCACTGTTTAAAGCTTACCCGCAAGCGATCAAGCATGCGACTCTTCTAGCGCCCAACATACCTGCTGAAACCATTTTGCGGATTCAAGCGCTAGCGAGACAGGAAGACCAAGAAGCTAGCTCAGAAACGGACGTCAAGGAGACAAAGGACCAGAGGCAGGCAAGAAAAGCAGCTGATTCCATCCATCACCTCGAATGGACCCGGAAGATATACATGTTGGTCACAAGCGGCTATCTACTTCAATACAATGCCGACGGAAACTTCGACCGCCTCCCCGAATTGATCTTAGAACTTGGGGAGACCTCTGTCGCATTTGCGAGCGACGCAGTTCCTGGGAAACATTGGGTGTTACAAATCTCACAAACGTTCGACGAGAATGGTACGGCTACTGTCGACAACAAAAAGAGCTTCTTATCTCGGCTTCGAATATCGGATTCGCCGAAATTGGCCAAGTCGCTTTTGTTGGTATTAGATAGTGCCGAGGACTTGTCGGCATGGCTGTTTACTATGAGGCGCGAGATTGAGGGATTGAGTGGTAAGGAGTATGTTCCTGAAACTCCTATGATTGAAGAAACGCCGCTGCTCCATCGATATCAGAGCATGGCATCGATGCAAAGGCCTCCGCAACATAGTTTTACCAATAGATCGTCACTGTCAGTGTCTTCAACGACATTGTCACCGTCGTCCCAAACCCGACTCGAGGGCCTTGCAGCTTTGCAGGCCAATCGTCGCTCCATGGCCCGATCAGTCGAAACACCCTCCCCTTCGATAACTGCGACGAGTGATTCAGATCGGATCAAAGACAACTATCGATTGTCGTGTGTTTCTATAGGAACAAGGACGATCCCCAGCTCATGTGGCTCTTCACCCCCATCGTCCTCAGCAGGTACTAAGCATCCTATACCTAAGAATTCATTTCTCAGCTCTCCTGAAAGCATGGCAAGCGTTGCTTCCATAGAGTCAAGCACTCGTCCAATACCAATAATCCGTGGACCTGCTTACTTCCGGAGAGAACCCATTCTTCCTGACAAGGCCACGTCAAATGCTGTTGTGTCGTCTCAGACGCCAAAGCCTCCGTTGATGCCAGCGCCTAATTTTAGCGTACCCGCATTCAGCAAAAGATTCTCGTCTACTTTAAATTTGAGATCGGCTCAGCTTTCTTCGAGCGCGCCTACCTCCAAGCCAACGCCTGCCGTGGCTCTTGGGTGTTCAGTCTATTATAGCTCGGAGACTTCGATTGACACAATCCCGGAAGACCCAGAGCCAGTCGAGCCCAAGAGAGAAAGACCAGTTATCAAACTAAACAGCTGTCGTTGAGAGTTCAAAATGGGGAACAAACCCGTTTACCCTTCAGGGAGCACGCCACAAAGGCCATCCAACCAGCCAAGAGCAACCCCAATCCGAGCACGTAGGTATTCAAGTTCTGGACATAAGATCGACATTCACACTCCTATATCTGAGCTTGGCCCTGAATCGCCGATAATCAATATTAAGATGGTCCAACCGACTCAAGACGTACCACAATACCGCTGGCCTTTATTGTCGAACGCAAGTAGCAATCCACGCCCACGGCTACCACGCGAACACAGCACTCACTCGCCCCAACGGCCATTAAGCTTGCAAGTCGGGACCCCACGCGTATCGGCGCCAGAATATCCTCCATTAAGTTCGAGTACACAGCCTATAACGATTCCCAGTGAAGCAGCAGTTTTGAACCTCCCAACAGCACCCAGACACCCACCACCACTTCCCCCGCCGTCCCAAAATCCCCGCAAACCCAATCTTTCGCCTAGGCGTAGCTTGCCGCAAATGACATTTGGGCCGCCTCCTGCGCCTCCCCCGGATTGCCCCCTGCCTGAAATCCCACCCGTCGTAGGTCCCCGAACCACTCCCACCTGGAAAACAATTCCATCTGTCACGGCAATGCCCACGCAACTCCAAATACGCCAAGCACGCGCAAGTGGGAGCCGGCAAATATCCTCCCATGTTCATGCTAAAGCCTACCGTGCATCCGTGCCGAGAATCAATGCTGGTGGACTAAACGACATCCGGCCTTCTAAGAAACAGGGAATCTTACAAGCATGCTAACACAGCACGGCTTTTCTGGATCTGAAGAAAAAGTAAAAGAAACGTATATTATGACCATTTTGGAATTGTGTTTGCATTTTGACGAAGCACGAATTTTTACCACTTCCTTTTTGACGTACAGCTTTTTTTATTCTGTTTTTGCGCATATACCCAAATCACCTTTGACCTCGGAAATGTGCTATTGAATGCTATCACGACTTGCGCACCTTTTCCTTCAACATACCGTCCTAATTTGCTCTCATTTTATATTCTCATATTGTATACAAGACCTATCTCCCACTAGCCTCTAGTGCTACTCTCTTTATTACTTTTCCTTGTTTTTCTACGCTTATGCATATACGAACGACTTTCCAGACCAACTATTGTACGATTCTGTATGAATTTTCTTTTTTCTTTTTGAGTCTTCTTGAAAATGTCTATTATGTATGTATGCTTTGTTATTGATAACCCTTTGAGGGGGAGACGTAATACTAATTTAATCAAATAGAACAAGTGATTTCTTTTTGGAAAGATTGGGATAAATCTGGGCTGCACGAGTGCCAAAGGGGATGATGATGACCATTTGGGAGAACACAGAACTAATTCTATATCGCATGGACGTGGAAGTATATTCATACAGCTCAATCTTATAATAGACCTAGAAGTTAAAACATTTTTTGTCATTTGAACGAAATATCCCGTGGAAAGGGAAGGTATCAATAGAACCCGGTAATCAGAAAACGTAAACGTGAAAACACCGATTTCCTTCTACTCGTCTTCCGCATCCTCGACGCTGGCGGTCAGATTACGTTTCTCTACGCCTCCGGGGTTTGCCTGAGGCTGGACTACCGTAGACGTAGCAGTTGAGTCTTGGGGTTTAGAAGGTTTCTCGGACGTTGCCGATGTTCCGTCGGCAGCCTTTTTCGACTTCTTCTTCTTTTTGGTCTGGGACGTGTTAATATAGAAATGATATTGGGAGATTTTGAAAAACGTACCTCTTGCCATCCCCATACCGGCCTGAAACTGTCAAAAAATCCAACGTCCTCAAACAGATTCGGATAAAGCCAGAGCCCAGGTGGAACAGCAAAGAATGTAACGCAGAATAATATCAAACGGAAAATGGCCATCGCGAAGAACAGTCCCAGTAGACCCATCATTCCAATACTCAAATACCACACACCCTGTCGTAACATGATGGGCCACAATGGGAACATGACCACTGCCATGATAAGAACCAGCACACCCGCAGCCATTGCTTTTTGTTTCCACTGTGGGCCTTCGTACAACCATGCGTAATGCATCATTGGTGCCGTCTCCTGGTGTTGTTCTATACGCACAGTCCACTGCCCTTTTACTCGTTTCTGCTTGCCAGCACTTTGTTGCTCGACTTTGGATACGCGAAGTGCGAGAAGGGACATGGGAAGGAGTTTGAAGGTGTTTTCAGCAGAGGCGCGGTCGGTAACCGGGGGAAGGAGGGATTTGGGCTTTGCGGCTGCTTTGGCATAGGCAGGGGATTCTAGGGCTCGAATGGCTCGTTTTACTTTGATTCTAGTCAGTATTCCTGTACATCCAAAAGTAGCAAAGTCGGCAATGGGTTTACCTTTGAACATCTCTCTTCTTCGGCCATCCAGAATGCATGTTCTCGTTTTTAGATTCTGTGACCTTAAGAAGTTGGCAACTGCAAGTGCTTTCGGGTCCGGCTCAACTCCTGAAGTCACGGGTACTCGTCTCTGGTTTGGCTGGTCATGGCTGTGGTCATGGTTACAGCCTTCGTGGTGTTCGTGGCCGCCATGGTCATGGCTATGGTCATGGTCATGGTCGTGATCGCAGCCCTCATGGTGTTCATGGCCCTGCTCCGCCTGTTGTTGCATTTGCTGCATTCTGTGCTGTTGCATGGCTTGAGCCCTCAATTGACTGAGATATTGCTCCGGAGTTAGACCGTGCTTCGCGGCCTCTTGGGCGAGTTGTTGCCGTTGCATGTTTGCGAACTCTTCTGGCGTCATGCCCCGTTTGGCGGCTTCGGCAGCCATCTGTTGTTGCATAGCCGCGATCTGCTGCGGCGACGGTTGAGCGACCGCCATGATGAAGGGATTGAGGAAACTGGCTCTCAGACACAGCAAGCCGGGTTCGAGCAAGATGGCTAAATGATGATCGGGTCCAGTGCTTGATATATGAACAGTGTTGACTTTCTTTGATGTGGCCAGATCTGTGCTTCTCAAAAGGGAAAGGCGTGACGTGTGCAGACGAAGTTCGAGTGCGTGGGAATAGGCGGCAGTTTCATCACATCATGCAGCTATCGCCAACGCCCTTCAGTTGAATTCTTGAGATGTGCCTTCAATTGGAGCCCAATTCGTTTGACATCCTCACAATGCTTTCATTGTAAATTCCTATTTGTGTCTGAGCTGGAACTTGCCGTATCTCCATGCAAAGTTTTGCTCCTAACAATGCTTCTTTGCAACATGCGCCGTGGACGACAGTACAACTGGTATGTTGGACAATCGCAAATGGAGAAGTTGAAACTGGTTAACAATCACTCTTTATGATAGTCTCAGCGAGATGTGTCGCTACAAATTCCGATCGACTTCATAACTCAACCCGCCGTTTCTCTTTCAGCGGCATGTTTTGGCAAGGGAACTTACGACGAAGAGGCCGCAAAACGATGCATTTCCAATCTTCTCTCTGTTGGATATCGACGGTTGTATGTCGATTTGTACTGGTCGGTAGGAAGGGAGAAATGGGACCTATGTCCAGCGACAATACCTGCGGACGGAAGTGGCCTCACTGGTCAGGCAGATATCTCTACTAGACGGAGTTCTTACGGGACCCTCCTTTACCAGTTGGGTCCTTACGCATGCTCTGCAAATGTCGACTTAGCGGGCCTGATAAGTGTTATTTCGGGCTATTTTAGCAGTACAGAAGACACTTTGAGTGCGCACTTGACGTACATGATTTTCAATCTTCATGCTGCCTCGTCCCCTGGTTCTCCTGGGAGTCCAGCACCAGCTCCAACTGAAAATCAATTTCCATCTGCGCTTAACTCCTTAGGAGCAACGGTGGATAGGACGCTGGGGAGATACATATATACTCCATCCGAACTCGACTCGGAAAGAAAAAATTTGAACAGATCTTGGTATTCTGTCAGTCCCTCACTGAGACCGATCGCAGAGTATTTTTCTGTTGAAGGTGTACCGGACTCGCGCCACAGAACAACTGATGGCTGGCCAGGCGAAGGATATTTGGAGATTTCTAAAGCTCAAAGGCTTCTTCTTGGATGGGGCAAGGTCGATGCACAAATGAGCGAATACGATTTCGATGCGGATAACCAGATTATCTTTTCGTCCAGCTCCATATCATCTTTCGTCACAGTTACTAAGAACAACGATAGCGATATTATAAGTGAATGCTTATACAATCCGGATAGCACTGACATCAACCGCGTTGCGGATTGGGCGACGGCCGAGATCCCCATTGGCAACTCATCATCGCAGTTAGCATTTTTCACTAATCAGATGGTTGCATGCGGCATATCTCCGCTGGTCAACTATACGCTCCTGAATGCTACTGCTGACCAGAACATTGAGCCTTATCGGAATGTGTCGCTTTCCTCGATCTGGTCATGGGCCGTGGGCCAGCCCGAAAGTTCGGTGAATTCCGCTATGGTCGAGGAAAATCGCTGCTCCGTAATGGACCTTTCACTTGCGGGCCATTGGCGCGCTACTGATTGCACAGACCGGTTATATGCTGCATGCCGTGTAGCTGACTCTCCATACAAATGGGTCTTGTCTCGCGAGCCTGAAGCTTACGTTTTTGCAAAAGACACATGTCCTGAGAACTCGAGCTTTGCCGTCCCGCGTACGACGCTGGAGAACACGTACCTGTACGAATACCTTCTTAAGCAGCCGAAAGACCTCATCGACTCGACTTCCGACGAGACAGAAAAGAGAAATGTCTGGCTCGATTTTAACTCATTGGACGTCCCGAATTGCTGGGTGTCAGGCGGGCCCAAAGCCCAATGCCCATACGAAGTTGACGAAAGCGCCATCGAGCGTCGCAATATTCTCGTTCCTAGCATTGCCGCCATTATTATATTGATTATAACGGCGCTGACTCTCTTTGTCAAATGCAATGCTAACCGGAGAAATTCAAGGAGGAGAAGAGTGATTGAAGGATGGGAGTATGAAGGTGTGCCATCATGAACCTATGTCGAACAATACCCCAATATATCCCAAAGTCATTCGGCTGTTTCTAGTATGTTCATATGTATATTTCGGTATATCACTCTGCTTGTGAAAACAAATACCCTTTGATTGTATATACGTGCATGGCAGCTAAGTCTTTGCCGCAAGTTTTGACACATTTGTATCCGGTTTGGGGATAATCGACAGGGTCGCGAAATGAGAGATTCAAGCTGCGTCTATTATAATGTACAGTGGAAGTATGCCAGTATCTACAAGATAAACCTCTATGGAGATTTGAAAGTACCCTAGAAGGCCCGCACAGGATCGACATGCTTCACAAACCCATGGGTCATGATAGCACATTCAACATCTCTTCAGCGCGCCCAAATTTCTCGCGAACCTTTCCTCTCGACTTCCCTCTCTCCACCTCAGCACGATCAATCGCCTCCCAATCTTCCCAGCTTGTCGGCCGGAGACCCATCTTCTCCGCCTCGCCACGCACGCCCTCCCATCCAAGGCCCGTGCTGCCCCCCTCATTCGAGTTTAAGAATGCAGGTGCACTGCTGGAGGCTGCAACGTGGTGCGTCCAATCGGCGGCGATGGCATCGGCTGTGGCGAACGCATCTGTCATTGTAGATGCGATGACACCGGTGGGCCCGCGCTTCACCCATCCAGCGCAATAGAGGCCAGGGAGATGGGTAGGGAAATCGTTTGGAGAAGATGAGTGTGCACTGCCTCTGTCATCGCTGGATGAGTTGGAATTAATGATCCTACCTTGGCCGTCATTGGGAATCGTCCCGCGTGAATGGTCGAAGAGGATCTGGAGGTCTTCAAAGCCGGGCAGGGGGAGGGATTGATAACCTATGCTGCGGAAACAGGTGCTGGCGGGGATGTCGAGTTGTATCGCTTTACCGTCATCACCAAGGAGAGGAGTTGCTCGCGCCGATGGGGAGAAGGGATCGGAGGGGTCTAATTGATTACGGGTGAATTTTATGTGTGAGAGGTCCTTAGATTGATCGTTTGCGGCGTGAAACGAGTGCGGAGAGAGTAAGAAATCAAGAGACCAAGATCTCTTTGCGGTAGAAGGATCTGTGGCTGTGCCCTTGACGAGTAGTTGGGTGATGCGTTTCTGGGCTCGAGGCAGGCTTTTGATAGTCGATTCTGGTGGAAAGAGAGATTCGGGGATGGGATCAAAGGACACGGAGGGTAACTGTATCAGCTCCCGGAGCTCCTTGATTGTAAAAGCACCCTAGTAAGAGTCCGTTAGTACGCCGCAACTGGCTTCCGCTTGTCATCGCAAGTCCATACCTGCATTGGACCTCTTCGGCCAACTACCCGAACTCGTTTGATCTTGCTCCTTGACAGCTCCTCCAAGGCGTACTCTGTCATATCTGTCTTCTTCAAAACGTCAATGTCCGTCAGCAGAGCCCTCGCAACATCCATGGCTACATTTCCCTGCCCAATAACGACTGCTTCTTCGCCGCTCGCCAGGTCTGGTTTGAGATCCCTGTATTCCGGGAGTCCATTGTACCAGCCAACGAAGGCTCTGGCGGAATATATACCACGGATATCTTTTTCACCTCGAATTCCTAGCTCTTTATCCTTCGAAGCCCCGTATGAGAAGAGAATTGCATCGTAGTGCGGCTTAAGTGCTTTGAGTGGAAGAGCCGCGCCGAGCTCGACATTTCCGATGAAATTGAAACGCGGAGAACTGGCTACTTCGGTGAATTTCTCTTGACAGTTCTACGACAGGTAATCAGCCATCAGTTTGGACGATGCCAAAGGTATGAATGGAGATCGACAGTAGATTACCTTTACCTCTGGATGGTCTGGCGCAACACCATATCGCACCAGCCCAAACGGCACCGGCAGTTGCTCGTACATGTCAACGAAGGCATTGTCGACTTTTGTCATTAGCCTATAAGCGGCATAGAACCCTGCTGGGCCTGAGCCAATGACTGCAATGCGAAAAGGGCGGGAAGACTGGGCGATGCCACTGCTGTAATCCCTTCGGCTTGTTCTCCCGGCGAGACCTGCGAGGGTATCTGAAGATGAACCATGGCGAAGGAGTGCGCCGTTGATTCGAAGAGAGCACCGAAGGCACACCCCAGGCGCCCAGGACAGCATTGTGTAGAGAGATTAACACAAGTGGTAACTCGGCGGCATTCATCGCAACTCGAGTGTCTTTGAATTGATTGGAGTCATGGCCGATAAGCCCTACGAGCCCTGTTGCCCCGTCAACAATCAGCGACCGACAGTTATTTACGGACACTGAGCTTTGCCGCCGGCCTCGCGAACAAGGACTCCTTCGCGTTCCTTACTTCATTCGATGAGATCCCCCGCCTCATCCTTCGATTATCGGTATCTCATGCGTTTTCTGTATGCTGTAGTTTGACATCCCCTGGAGCCGTGACAATGGGCGGGAGTGCACCGCCATTCCTCTACGACCCTCCACCACGACACGCTCCCGCCTCGCCAGAGAGGCCGTTCAATCCCAAGCTCTATACCCAGGCCTCTCAGTCCCCGCCAAAGCCGAAACCGAAGAAAAATGGCCCGCTGATCAATTTCAACCAGCATCCGGACTCGGTATGTCGTCCGCAGGAAACGAGTTTACAATGCATGGATCCCCTGTGCTGACCGCGAGTGCAATAGTTCGGGTTGATCGCGAATGCCAGAGGCAACATCAAATCAATGAGCCCTCAAACAAAGCGAAGAGTAAACTATGCGAGGCGGTTCCAACTTGCATTGCGCGCTCTGACCCTAATTGGGGCGCTGGGGTTGCTGTTTTGTGTCATTTGCATCAAAGGCACAACTGTGACTCTCGCATGGATGATCCGGGTCCCGGTAAGCATGCAGCAGGCTCAAATTACAAGAATAAGGGCTCACGATTACTAGCCTTGCGTTTCAATTGTCCATACCCTCTATGGAATATATCACCTCTTTCGCTCTGCGAATGCGCGAACCCCGGCTTCCTCGGCAAGCTATATGCTATTTGCATCAGTGCTGGATGCTGGGCTAATCCCGTTATACGTATTTACCGCGATCGTTTCACATGTCGAACATAAAAGCAAATCATATAACTGGGACACGTTGTTTGGGACGACAGAGGCAAAGGAAATTATCGTACACGCGACTTTCCTTGCATGTTCGACAATCGGTGGACTCCATCTAATTTCGCTTGCCTTGGACCTTTATCTGGCTGTGATCTTCCGCAAGATATCGAAGCTGCCACCCGATATGAACCCACTGGAAGACAATCTTACATCCCGGAGCCATAAGCGGAGCAAATCCGAGATCGCCGAGAAGCATTTGAGTCACAGCACGACAGGTTCTGCAGGTGACAATCGCCAATCACTTGCTCAGGAACCATTGATCCCTACTCGTTCTGTGCCGTTCATGCATACTCGGACGGACTCCGCGAGCACCCTTTCTGGGAATGACATTCGAGGCCAGGACAGCCCTAGGACTTCGTACTATTCGGCACAGTCCTATCGGTACTCGAGGTCTGACCTTCCTAGCCAGCAAATGTTGTATTACGAGCAATTAAACAAATCAAAAGCGGATATTGCGCGCACGCCTGCGCAGCGGCGCGGTACAACGCCATCTCGTCCTCAGTCAGTTTTTGTGGATGCTCCTCAGGAGTTGAATCAGTCCCATTTGGATGTCGCAGATACCAAGACGCGAGACCCAAGCGGCGTTTCTTCTTTATCAGACGAAAATTGGTGCATGCATTCATCCTCACCGCCATCTCCCGAAACATACCCCGTCGATGCTGCTGTTCCACCGTTGTCTGTGGCAAATAGGGCGGCTACACCTATGATACCAGATATTGACGACGACAAATGGGTTGATTCCGGTATGCCAGATATTATTCAGCATCGCAGTGACACTGTGGTACGACGTCGAGGTGACTACGCAGCCCTTGACGATAGTGACGAGAATGAGAACTTATATGACAAAGAATATATCGAAAATCTATACGGATTTGAGCATGATTTGGGAGATCAGCCACTGGGATTAAAGGAGGAGGAATACAATGATCCCCGACGCAACCTGCCACTGCATCCGTTGGAGATGAATCCACCCACTCCCAGACCAACTGAGGGCTCAGTTACTCCGCGTACGGGTAGTTTGCGTCGCATTGCATTGGCGGATATACCGAACCCGCCATCTGACAGTGGGCGATCCACACCCGTCAAAAATAGCAAGCTTAGGTCTTATGGCGAACTTGAACAAACCAAAGCGTCTCCAGCACAACGTGCCGGGAGCTTGCGAGGCAAACCCGCCCTTCCAAATAGCACCGAAAAAAAGAAGACGCGGTGGAGGCGCAAGACTGGTAATTACGAGGTCGTCGATATCAATGACAATGACAGCGATACCGGCAACGATAACTTGGCGGATCAGGAGAATGGAGATCGGAAGGGCCGCGTTGTCAGCAATACCGGTATTGACTTGGGATCTGGAGCTACCGGGTACGGAAGTTACATTGCAGGCCTGGGGGTCGGAAGAAGGCGAGAAGTGAGCGGAAAGGTAGCTGAAGAAGGTCGAGGAGGTAGCCTGGGCCCCGAAGATGATAGTCCTGGGACGAAGGGAAAGAGACTGTCCAAGTCAGGGGATTACCGGGCAGCAGGGTGGGCACGATTCAAGGGCCTTTGAGATCTAAACTCAATCTATCTTGCAGGGGCTGGAATCTATTGAAATGGTGTAATTTTGGATATATGGAATATTTGGTTCAGGTACTATTCCCCATGGTTTCTTCTGATGTTGACGTTGTTATGAATGTATGTATGCGCCTGTAAGCTATTCGAGGTGTTGATTAGTCAGTCGGTGATTTAACATTCGCGACCTCATGCCATCTTCTTTGATATCACTTTCTCACCGGCCGCTCTACTGGTCTAGGGATTACCAGCGCATATACATTCATTCGCTGCTTGTCTTAATTGTTGACTTAGGGATGAAACATGCACTTTGACATTATACGTCCCAGCTCGCTTTTGACCACGAGATTGGGAGGCTTGATCTCAGATACTTGTTAGCCTAGCACCGAAGTTCAGATAAGGCGCCCAGAGCGTTTTTGAAACTGAATGCTTAAGCTTATATTTGCTGAGAGCTAATAATATGTCTTGAGATATCAAATTCAAGTCTGAAGATCTATAGTTGGTGACTTTGGACCGGTTTGTTCGTTTCAGTTTTGGGTTTTGCTCCTTTTCTTTTCACTTACAATTTTGAGAGAGGATTGATCTTTTGGGCTAGTCTGTACTAGCTAGCAGTTTTGGTACCGGCCGGTTCCATTGGAAGCATCCCGCTCGAAAGCTCAGTCCCTAGTTTTGACTGAATATACCTGGTAAACAGGATTATTGAAGGGCCCTTATATGGGCTTTTTCCCGTTCTCGAGGCATTCATTTCAACGGAATATTCCATCGAAATGTGAATTCCTGGGCCTCTAGCCAAGTGACGTATCTTCTCTGGGCTAGAGTAAACAATCTCAGTTCATCATCCCCAGCCACTTCGGTATAGAGGTTTTTGTGCAGCTTGAACCTCTCTTTTATTTCTCTCTTTCCCTTCAACTCAAACTCAACAACAGGCCCATCATGAGCTCCGAACTTACCAACATGCTTTCCCTTAGTCCTGCGCCGAAAAAGCCGCTGACATGCTACTATTGGAAGACCAGTCAATGCAAGTTCAAAGACCATGAATGTCGCTTTATGCATGAGGACACTGGAAAAATAGCTTTTGCCCCTGTCAAAAGTACCAACAGAAGTGGTGAGTTACCACTATGCAAATTGGTAGCCTCTAATGAACCTTGCCATTGATGAATTCGTAGTAGCCGCCTTAGCTGCCCTTGAGCCAAAGAAGTCGAATGCCAGCAGCACCGAAAGCGATGATCTCATCTCACTCTATTCCTATCATGATCCCCAAGAACAAAAGGTATCGCATAAGCCTTTACAGCTTTATTCCAATTTGAAAGGCCTACGCTGATATCTTCTGATTATGCAGCCTGACGTTGCGCCCAAGGAAGAAACCAAGAACGGTCTTTTTGAAGATGGGCTAGCTAAGTCGTCCGGTAGTCGAATCTCAACGGGATCTATAATTTGTGCCATCCGTAACAATCAGAGTTACGATTCTATCCGACATCTTCTTGCTGCTAATCCTCGAACCGAAGTCGCAGAAATCTTGATGGCGAACCAAAGTGCGTATTCAACTATATTTGCGTCTATTTATGCAAATCGCCCTGAGCTCATCAAACTACTTGTTGAGTATGGGGCCAACCCTGACGCGACGGATCACAATGGAGTACCGCTCCTAGCATACGCCATTTTCAATTCCAGCATTAGTGCCACGGAGATCGTGCGGGCGCTTCTTACGCTTGGAGCCAACCCATATGTAATCCCCTCTCGTATGTGGGAAATTACACCTAATCAACTTTATGAAAAGCTTCATAACGGCTCAGACTCGCAAATATCTTGGTGTGATCAGAAACATCAGGCTTTGCTGATGAATAGCCTTAACATCTCTATGAAATACTATCTTCTTCAAGCTTCCGAAAATATTGGTTCTCATCAGGGAACGGAAGCTCCCGCTCCTATCATTGGACAGAACTATGCAATCAAATCCGTCAAGGAATATCTCGTTGCTCAACATGTCTGCAGAAGTGATTCCCTGCCAATCTTGGCTTTCGTTGGGCCGCCTGGCCATGGAAAAAGGGCCCTTGCTCGATCCCTCGGCAATTTTCATGAATTATCACCATTCAATACGAGTCCATCTAGCGTTAATCGTACAGCTCCTGAAGATAGAAACCACCCGGAAGTCTCCAATTCGGAAACGGGAGGCTTGGATATTTTCTTCATCGATGGGGAGAAAGTTGACCATGCCTGGCTTAAAGCCCTGCTTAATACCGTGGATAATTGTGAGTTCTTCGTAGTTTAATCGTCGTTCTCTATACATTACGGATTTACGTTCTAACCTACAGCAGGTGCGTATCGACATCAGGAGACTAAGCACTTGACTCGTTTAAATGCCGTATACATTCTATCCGTGACTCAAAGTGAAGAATCACTCTCCCGCACTTATACCAACCTTTATGACATAAATAGGTATAGTGATTTTAAAGAAGTCCAGTTCCTCGACACTAAAGTAAAATCCCAACTCAAGGATGAACTCGTTCAAGTTTACGGTGTACGTATAGCTGAAAAGGGCCAATCTTTTTGTCTGAGTTGGTATATGGAATTCGCTAACTGGAAGTAACCCCTTTGATAGACCTCAATTGCCAGTCGTATTCAGCATATCGTCCCGTTCGTTCCAATTACTAGACTTGAAAGTTCAGTACTCGCGCACCAATTCCTAACCCAAGCGATTCAAGGCCTTTATGACGATTACACACGTCGATGCACCGCCCCCGTGAAGTACGCTCGTAGGATTGAGCTCCGCGCCGACGATGACGCCTTTGAATATCTAGGAAGGTTTTGCGCTCCCGGCGGCGGGGTTCGCTACATTAAACAGGAGGTGAATACGAAAGTCGTCTTGCCAATGGTTAAGCAGTATCAGACGATAATTCGTAAGGACGTTGCTGGGTTTAAAGGGTTGGTTACGCTCAAAATGATCCGGGGCCAGGACAGGCCTGACGATTTCACCTTATTTAGCAACAGCGGCAGGACGATGATAAGTGTGGAGGTGGAGTAGCTTCATGGGGTTCTTGCGGGATTTTTTAAGGCGAACTGGAAACAAATACCTTTTGACACAAGCGTATCAGACAGAGCGTTTAAGCTGGCCAAGGATGCATTGCATAGATGAATAGGAAACCTTAGCTTTTCTATCAGTAGGTAATTTGAGCGTTGTCTAGCACTTCGGAAAGAGGCTGGGTGAGTGCAATTTAACTTCATCTCGATAATAAATAGGGGGAGGACAATGAAATGCATGGGAGTTATAATATTTCAACCAAAAAGCAAAAAAGTCGTCAGTATCATCGCCATACCCGACACTAAGTGTCTCAAACAAGTGCAACATCTCATCAGCGTGCCCAAACACACCCTACGAGAAATCCTCTCCAGTATCCTCGATATTGCCTTTGATGCGCAAAAATATCGCCGTCTTCCACTTATCGAGTTTGCTCAACTGATCGTACTGGAATAGTTTGTCGCTGAAAGCTTCTTGATCTCCTTGCTCCACAGCTTGGGCGAGATCATTGAGTAACTGGTACTCCCGGGTGGAAAGGAAGGTATTGTCAAGGTCGACGTAGGATTGAAGGGCACGGTTAGTTGCAACAAGATCCTGTTACAATCGGTTAGCATAGACACGAATCCCTGAGTTAACACGGGGCCCCATACTTTGGACGCGAGGTGGCACATTCCAGCTTTGAGGAAGTACTCCTTTACGGACCACTTCATCAAATGGTTGTTTATAGATGATTTGGCGACTTTCTCAAAGTTTTCAATTGCCTTGTAGTAGTCTGCCTTCAATGCTGCGAGGTCCGCCACTTTCAAGAAATGTTTGTTCGCAAGACTAGAGAATAGCTCACACGGTCAGCAAGGGATCACAAACGTTCCATTATTATCAGCTTGTTGACAGAAAAACTCACGCCTCAGCGTTATCGCCCTCGAACCACTCTGCTGCTTTCTCGTATGCCTCCATAGCCCTTGTTTCATCGCCGATCTCAACCTCATAGACTTCGGCCAAATTCTGTTGATGGGTCGCAGCACGTCTAAAATTCCCTTTCGTAATATAATGCGAGATTGCACTTTGTAATACACGCGCGGCATCCTCAGGATCGGTCTTCCTATAAACTTTGAACGCTTCCGTTAAGGCGTTGGCGGCGTCGTCAGGCTCGTTTAGGTTATTAGTATAGACAGCAGCAGCTTTTTCGAAGGCCATGCCGGCTTCTTTGTCTATTGAAACGCAGACACGTAGCACGTTAGCAATTGCATTACTGAGCTGATCCGGTTCAAGGTCGCGTGAGACTAACTCAGTTTTTGTACTCGAAATGCGTTCGCCGCCTGTGTGTATAGATCTGCGGCATTCTCATATTTTTCCGTTTTTCCGCCAAAAATAGAGAAACCACCTGACGCACTCTGGAGAGTTTTGTCGGCCTAATATCTTGAATCAGCCTGAACCCTGGAGTACATCGGAGAGCAGGAAGCGAGTAGAAGTCGATGCGAAACGTACTTTTTGGAGTAGAACGCGTGGATCTTGCGAAGCCATGGCGATATTCGCAGTAAATAGTAGTATATATAACAACGAACAGAAATGACTAGGACCAGCGTAGCTATTGGTTGAATGAGAGCGTTACTCGAAGCTCAGTGATAACAGCGGGGATGAGACAGATTGCGGTTGCTGACGTCTTGAAGCTGGAGGGGACACAGTGCATTGCTATCCTGCCGACCTTTAGCCGGAGCTTAGCTAAGCCGATGCCCCTCTCATTGTTTGATTGGCTAGCCGAAGGTCCCTAAGGAGTGCCCCTAAGACAGCCCCTAAGGCCTCGAAGCCACCCTCAACTGCCCCTAATCTTCAGCTCTTCCGGGGCCAAGGCACAGGCCAAACCTTTTCAGCTGCCAGCGTCAACAGTCGATTGCATCTCTACTCTCTCCTGCCGCAAGTCCCTCAAAACGACTCCTTAACCATTAATCTCTAAGAATTGAACCTTCCACCGACACGATGCCATCCGCAATCGCACTCCGCTGCGCCAGAGCGAAACTTTTTCAGCACAATTGCCGAACTCGTCAAACCCTCCTACGTCTCGAGCCCCAAAACTTCATTCCAGCAGCAACAATACCACTCCGTCAATCGTCCACATCCTCATCCTCCGACGAACAGGACATCTCCAGCCTTCTCGCCACGCCCACCTGGTCCATCAAGACCCTCCTCCCCGACATCACAGACCCTTCCACCACCCAGCCAATATCCCGCGCCCAACTCCTCCATCTCCTCCGCCTCTCCGCCCTCCCTCCGCCGTCATCCGCGCAAGAAGAATCCTCCATGCTTAAAACTCTCTCGGCGCAGATCCATTTTGTCAAACAGATTCAACAAGTCGACACCACGGACGTTACGCCGCTTCGCAGTCTTCGTGACGAGACGGACAGGGCGTATCAAGAGCGGACGATCAATATATCGACGCTCAAAAGCTCGCTTGAGCGGGAGGAGTTTGTGGGCCGGAATCGTAGAATTTTTCGAACTCGGGCGGAGAAGGAAAAGCGTCCGGATGGAGAGTCGTGGGAGGAAGATGGTGCGCTATTAAAATCTGGGGAGGTGGTGATGGGGAAATATTTTGTAGTTCGGTCAAGTGAAGCCAATGTAGATTAAATAGTAACTCAAAAGCAATATATTGTTCTATTACATGCCTTTATTATGCCCTATAATATGGCTTCAATCCGTAGAGACTCAAGAAGAACGATTTATTATTGAGTGCACTAGCTGTTATCTGTTCGCTGTCCTAAAGTGCTATGCAAATTTTGCCTAATTTTAAAGATACCATACCTTCTCCCGCACGCTTTTCTCAGGTAGAAGTACAAAATTCTTCCGTTCCAACCGGCGGACGGGTTTGATTGGTTAGGAGTGAATAAAGGCGCATTTTTCGAAGGCCATGTAGACCTTAGGAGTTTTAAAAGTTTCGAAATTCAAAGAATCTTCAAAGGCTCCGGTCGGAAAGCTGGCTCGAGAAAGCCAGCATATGGGTGAATGGGGTTGGGAATACAACAGAGAACAGATCGTCCGGTATGCATGAAGGATACGCAGACGAATCCCGACAGGACTTTAAACCAGATTCACTGAAGATAATGAAAAGCACGCTTGATAGCGGCAGTCGGTGTTCAACATGCGTGCTCCGCGAAACCGTACGTGTCGATTAGGTATATGTATGTATACAGAGGGAATAATCACGAGAAAGGCTTTTGACCGTAGATGCAATGACTGTACCAACCGTTAACATTATTATCACGACAGCATAGAGACGTCGTTACTCACGAAGTGGTATGGATGTGGTAGTTCATATTCCTTAAATCCTGTCTCACACCAGCAAGCTGAGCTTGTATCATAGTGTCATTCCAGTTAAGAATTCGCGTAAACAGCGCCAAGCAATAAGGCTCGAGAGAATCAGCCATGACCATGCGCATGATCTCACCGAGGTTCTTTTGCTTCGGATCCGATGGCCAGGGTGATAGCGGCGCCCTTCGACGTTCGTCCACAACGTTAACGAAACCAGCATCTTCTACTAGTTCGAGTAATTTGGGCGCAATATTGATTTCCTTGCCAAACTGCTTTGACGCATCAACCAAGAGAGCTTGAAACTGAGCGTAAGCAGAGTCAGGAGGCAGGCTGTCATCGTCCGTAGATGCCCAGGCGTCGAAGTCAATCACTTCTAGCCAGCCGCCTGGAACTAAGTTGTCGTATGCTTGTCGTAGCAACCGCGGCCAGTCCGCTATACTCCCCGCCAGGGTTCCAATATGTATATAATCAAAAAGATGGCTGAACTGCCAGTCATCCTCGGCGTCATCAACTTCGAATTGCAGATTCTCTGGGACAAAGCCAGGTTGTATGGCTGAAAGGTCTGTAGCTATGATCTCAGTATTTGGGAATTTATCGGCAAACTCAATGGCCCACTGTCACAGAGGCCATTAGCAACCGGCTACATGCTCTCTCAAAGGCGAGATACGCCGTTTAAGTCAGTAACGTACAATTCCCGTGCCGCAGCCCACATCCAAAGCATATTTAATGTCCTTCGAAATGGGAGCACGGTATATACCGCCGTAGAGGAGTGTGTAGAGGTGATGCTGCATATCTAAGCGGTCCTGCTCCTTTTCGTCGTTCGGCAAAGGATATTCACCCGCATGATAGGCATGATACCGCCTACCATTCTCATACCTGATACAAAGAAACAACCTGCGCATTAGAACTAATCCGACCACTTGAAGTATTAGGGAAGACACATACTCATAGTCAAAAATGCTTTCCGTTAGGGAAAAGGTGTCCGGGTCCGGGTCCATTGGAAATCAAGAATGATGAATCGGCACTCGACCGGCTGCTTTGGAGAGCAGAAAAAGCTCAAGGCACAATATACCGGGAGGCTCTCCATGATCAAGAGGGGCTGATGATTACTATTCAACCCCATCGCATCCCTTCTTCTTCACGTTGACGTACGGGAAACGTCTGAGATGTGGGGGCGTATCTCGTTGCAAATGAATTTGGTTTCTGGAAACTCCGGGCCATGCAGGATGAGCACTGGGAATGCTGGTGATTGGCCTCGAGAATCCAAGTGCTGCACAGAAAAATGGGTCATCGAGTGGCCGGTTCTGCTTGGCCGCTGGGTTGGCTTCGGTTGAACCTTGTCTGATAATTTGCTGGGTCACCGCCATAGGCGATGCGATCCTCCCTTTGCCGAGGGATGGTTTAGACGACGGGTGGTTTACCACTCTGACGGGACCCGAGCAAGCAGTTCATATTGGTTCGTGATTCGGACCCCTGCTTTGCCGATTCCAGCACAGCGGTGTCACTTTGATAGGGCCCGTGTTGCTGGCGTTTGGTTGTGGCCTTTGTTTCGGATGTGACATTATCTTGCACAGCATCGAGCTTCAAAAATTACAGAACTTGCGCATCCAAGTCGTGTTGCCCCGTATCGAAACAAAGTCTATCAACAAACCTCAATCTAACTAAAGTTAGCTCTCGCCTGGTGCCAGCAACACAGAATCCCTTCTTCTGGCATGTGGGTATGGAGGGTATTCTCCGTCAGGATTATTGACTTGCTATGAACATCCCAGTCCTTCTTCCAAGGAGGCGTTTCAACAACGACGTTATCAACTAAGCATTTCTCGTGGCTGACACCAAGGTCGTATCAATGAATCCCGACCACGTCACCGGGTTTCTACATAATTTCGTTTTGCGATTCGCCCCAACCTGTCGTTTCTCGAAGTCACCCATCTGTGGTTTTACCTCCACAGAGTTTCAGGGCTTACCAACACGCAGAAATCCGCTGCAGGAGTCAAGTTCGAGAATGAGCCTGTTGTTGTCTAGAACCCTCAACGTTCAACTTTCCGTATCACGCACAACCTACTGCAGATCCTCAAAATCTGCAAGTTCAGGTTTTTGGAGGCGAGTAATCCACGGATTTTGGCGAGATGGCAAAGAATTTTGTGATCCATGTCGCCATGCTGAGACCTCAGTGATGGGAGCGGCTAATTATTGGATAGTTAAGCCAGCGATTCCCAAACTGGCCATAGTGGTTGAGTTAGCAGGTGAAGGGACTCCTGGGTGACAACATTATGATATAACCTGGGTATTATCGAATAATAATAACGGTATCTTGAAGAAGTTCAAAATCCCCTCAACCTGAAACACCACAATCGTGCGGCTTAGTTAGTTATCGAATCGTCTTTGCTTGGCCTTTTCTACAACTTGGGCGATTTCAGTGTCCTGATCGTAAAACAGCGTACGACTAGACATCCCGCCACCATGGAAGCCCGGAATACAAGCGGTTTCGAAAGGAGACTCTTAGGCCAAGATCTTCACCATGCCCGACTTCGGGTTTGTACATATCAATGAGAAAACCATGCTTGATCGTCAGTTCACTAACAGCCCTCGAGGTCAAATGGGTTAGTAGACTGGGCATATGCAAAGATGCCAACGCAGAACAATTTTGCCTTGCTTCGAAGGTATATGGTGGAATTGCAACCAGTGGTTCTCTGGGCAAATCGCAGCGCAAGATTGGTAATCCGAGTCTGATTTTGAAGGCCATTCATTTATCCTACCATCAAACCTTGTTTTCGCTCCAAAAATAACCCAAGTCGCTATCTGCTTTCTTTTCTCCATAAATGGAATTGATCGGAATCACCTTGTCCGATCATTTGGACGAAATTTGGGAAGTGACTAGTTATATCACTCGGAGAGCCTTGGAGGCGCAGACGCAGACCGAGATACGATCGACCGAGAGAACCAGCTACTCGTTAACGAACCTTCCTGAGACAGCTGTTGGATTTTCTGCACGCAGGAAGACAAGGGAATTGCTCCAACTAATGATGGACATACTGCCCAGTCGCTCTGCTTTCCTCCTTGTTGAAAGCATCTCGCAACCGTCTGTTCGCGGTGAGGGTCCTGCGGAAGCCATTTTGACGTCAAACCGCCCAGGGCAGACCGCTGTGATGCGTCCAGCGTCTTGTCTGCCTCTCAAGATGAACGCAACATCGTCGATGATGGTCGGCTGTCGTCGAGTTCGATATCGAGGAAGGGGCTATTCCTGAAAGGAGAGTCACGTGTGGCCGGCTGCCCGTTTGGGAATCCAACGCATTTCCGACGACACTCGATCTCAACATCAACCTCAACCTCACCTTTCGCCAATGCCTTAACATGACATTGGCCTTGTGGCTCCAAGATTCATATTCTATTTCAAGCTCGCTGTGAGAATACAGGCCATGGCCACTCAACCGCCCCAGCCAAGCACCGCCGTGGCCAAGGGGCAGGGTCAGGCCGAGAGACTCGAAGACGACCTGAACAAAGTCTTAACTGCAGCCCAGCGGCGAGAACTCATTGATCTGGTCAACGCCACAATGGATGTGATGCAGGAAACCTTGTGTCATCCTTCGGAATGTCTGATCAGCACAACTCCTGGACCTCCCCTTCATTCTAACTCCCAGCAGCAGGCTCCCTCATCCCCGCAAAAGCGGCCGTCGCGGCAGGCATCGCGTGTGAACTCGTCGGCTAATATGACGCAAGTAAAAATAGAGCTAGAAGCCTTTGACTATTTCAAAGCCTGGAAGCGGTCTGTTCTCGTTCGTCTACGAGAGGTGATAGAAGTGAGCGGAGCTCCAGGACTACAACGCCGAAACGCTCAGGCAGACAGTTCGTCGTTGGATGTTAATGGCAGCCTCGCCATTTCCACAAATCCAGACGCACTTCCCGTGACCTTGAATCAATTGCCAATGGAAACAAGACTACTTGTAACCAACTCCTTGCTCCTGTTGTTATTGAGTTTAAAGTCCTACAGTGCTCATTCTCGCGTTCTCCTGCTTAAAATATCCGGTCATTTGGGCATTTCGCCGGAAAACGTAGCTGAAAACGAGATAAAAGTTGCTCAGGGACTCCTTCAAGCTGCCAAAGAGATGTCAGCAAGAGAAGAGGCAAAATCGAGGGCTGATCAATCCAAGGCTTCACGGCGCTGGAAAATCGGCCTAGCCTCTGTGGCAGGAGCAGTTCTCGTTGGTGTTACAGGCGGCCTCGCAGCTCCCCTCGTCGCCGGAGGGCTTGGGATGATTATGGGAACATTAGGTCTTGGGGGAACAGTAGTAGCCGGCTACCTCGGTGCTGTTGCAGGAAGTGGTGTTATCATCGGCAGTATCTTTGGAGCCTTTGGGGCCAAAATGACTGGTAGAATGATGGAACAGTACGCGAGAGAAGTGAAGGATTTTGCGTTTTTACCGTTACGAGCCCGTCAAGTGACGTCCAGAGACGAAGCCATTCCCGAGTCAGCCGATAACCGTCTCCGCGTCACCATTGGAATCAGTGGCTGGCTTACAGAAGCTTACGACCTCATTAGCCCTTGGAGAGTGCTCGGCGACGATTCGGACGTCTTCGCATTGCGATGGGAGCTCGAAGCACTCCTAATGTTAGGAAACGCAACAGAAACTTTAGTGAGAAGATTTGCTTTCACGATCGTGGCTAGACAACTCTTAGGGAAAACCCTCCTAGCGCCGTTTTCCGGTCCGTTGATGATTCCCATCATCGCTGGAAAGCTCTCTCACTTAATCGATAACCCATTTTGTGTTGCCAAAACACGAGCTGTGAAAGCCGGTGAAATCCTTGCGGATGCCCTAATCAACAAAGCTCAGGGCCAGCGGCCAGTTACACTCATCGGTTATTCAATGGGTGCTCGGGTGATATACACTTGTCTTTTGAGCCTAGCTAAAAGGCGCGCCTTTGGCCTTATAGAATCCGCGATTTTGATAGGAAGTCCCGCTCCTGCTGAAGCTGGGCAATGGAGATTGATCAGAACGGTCGTCAGTGGACGTTTACTCAACGTCTACTCTGAAAAGGACTTTATGCTCAAGTTTCTTTACCGTGCTCAAAGTATGCAAATGAACGTTGCAGGAATCCAACCTATTGAGGGTGTCCCGGGAGTAGAAAACTTCGACGCAAGCGAGATTGTTAGTGGACATCTACGTTACTCTTTGCTCGTAGGGATCATCCTCAAAAAAATTGGGTTCGATCACTTGAACCAGGACGAGCTACGAGTGCAAGCCGACAGATTTTACGCCCTTGCAGAAGCTGACGCCCGACGATTCGAGCAAGGAGAGTCACAAGGACAGTTAGAACAGGAGCAACTACAACCGCATCAGCAGAATATCATTGATTCCGATGGGCAAGACCAAATTGAACGGGGTACCGTTGAAGAAACGATTTCGGACAAGGATATCCAGGACCTAGAGGAAGAGATTGCAAGAAGGACAGAGGAGAGTCTAGCCGAAATTCATCACACCATACAGCTTGAAGATCGTGAAGCCTAGCCAAATCGTTCATGACATTGGGAGCAAAATTCGTGGGAAGCAAGGGTCGCCTCGAACCTCACATTGATTACCAGGTATGAGTTGCATGTATCCGGTGTTTCGTATATCTTTCCCGCTGAAGCACCTGGGGCAGAGAACAGTATATAATAATACCCAATTGATGACTATCCAATGATCCATGTTTCTAATTCCTTAACTTCAAACCCCCCAAGTCCCCCTGCCCGGTCAAAAAGCACTGTAGTACTATCTGTGTCTCACTCTCTCTAGGCTTGCCAGAATCAATCACCCCGCATCACACACCAGCCCATGCGAATAGTTGTAGTCGAACGCATGCCATACCCCAAAGATCTGGGCCACGGTCGCTAATACAACCAAAACGTGGAATATCTGGTGTGAACTAAACCACAGATCAAAGTGGCCTGGTCTCAATGATTCAGGGATACGGGTCTTCATGTCTATAGCCCACCGGTTTGAAAGATTGATCACCACAGGGTACACCCGCCCCTTTAAGGGGAAGCCGGGCCCGTGGGATCCATGGACCGGATTCACAGGTTAGTTTCCTTTTTATAAAAAACCAAGCCAAAGGGCAACCAAGTATGGCTATCTACTTGATCATTGTGAAAAGTGGGACTTTCAAGTACATTGACAGGACGAGAAAATGAGAGGAAGAAACACTTGCCGTATAGAAGAATACCCCAATAAGATGAAGAAGCCCTTCTAGAAGGTAGTAAGGAAGACCAGACCGCTTGAGCATTCCAGAAAGCCCAAAAGTCCGTATAGCATGAGCAAGTGGCGCGAGCGATGACAATCCCGTGCAGACGAAAGTTCCGGTGCGGAAATGGCGCCAATTTCGACCCTGGAATTTAGGATTGAGAATAATCATGCAAGATAGTGAGCCTAGGGTCAAGGTCTGTTTAGCCACCGGCAGTTAGTAGAGTAGCTGTAGTGCTTGCTTGCTTGTGGAGTTATGGATTGTAGCGAGAAAAGAAAATAGAACTCGTAATGAAAACCAGGATTTACCGTCCCCCAATACAGCCATATCAGTTTTGGTAGGCAATAGAAGACCATATAAGTCCCTGATAGAATATTCCCCAGAATTAGGCCGACGATCCCAATGTAATCGATTCGCAGCCATAATTCTGAAACGTTGCGGGGAATGGCTCATCAAAGTATGGTATCCAGTGGAGAACCCGAAGGCACATAGTGCAGCGACCAGAGAACGCAAAACAACATATCAGTTTCCGTCGCCTTAGATAGAACGCTTGGAAGTGATAGAATAGGAGGACTTCACCAGCAGCGACAAATAGCGCTGGGATCATGTGTGTGTATATATTCGCGGTTTCATTGTGCAGGTATGTCAAACTGGCAACGCATTCTGTGACGGACTGGAGCGGAGGACGATAGCCACTGAGGATGTACTCATTGTCTTGGAGCCACGGGGGAAGCTGGTCAAAGGAAAGTAACTTGGGCCGATCGTTGACAGTCGCAATAGGTTTGCGGGCGGGTTCGCAGGGTTCAACCCGTAGTGATTCTTGCTCAATTTCTAGGGGCCGTATTGCGGGAACGGCGCTTCGGAGTCGAGGAAACGATGCCACGGAGATAGACTCTCCCATAGCTGGGATTATAGGGCTAAGAATATAAACAATAATGATATCTCCTCAAGTCGGAGAGTAGGAACAAGAAGGGAACCAGTGTCAAAGCAAGGATATAAAAAAGACATTCGTCTTATATCAATCGCAGCCAAAGGGAGGTCGGATAGAAACAGCGGCAGGCGCTAATGACAACAGAGAAGGAGCCCTATAACTATACGCTTCATAGTTAATAAACTTCCTTCTCTGGGATTTTATAGTATCGAGCTTTTCTAACAACATCTTTCAGGGTCGGAAATGTTTTCGAGGGGACCAGATCTTCAAAACAGCATTTACAAAACTTCCGACTCCAACAGTGAAAGCAATCAGTTGCCCAGATGAGTCAACTTTATTCACAGCCTGGACGCCATTAATCTGAACGGAAAGCTCTGTTGTGAGCACAGTGACCACCAAGATAGAAGTGTCTATGATTAGCAGAAACGGAAATCCCTTGATTCCATCGCGGTCAACAAGCTTTGCAATCATTCTTCGGAACCAAAAAACCCTCTTGAACGTCTGATCATTATCATATGTGCTGTCTCTCCCGCGGTTACCAAATTGATACCCCACAAAATCAAGAAATCTGTGTCGGACTATAGTCATCTGAAAGGGAATTTAGATACGGCTCGTTGAAAAGGGGATTCAGGCCACATAATCACAACATACCTGTTTCGAGGCAGATTGTTGTACCACGGGAAGGCCTCCGTGGCCGTGGTTTATTCTGTCCTGGGTGCGCAACTTTGTTGGTAACAGTTATCAACAAATGAATTCTCAAGAAGCAACGTACTTTAACATTTCCAAAGATAATTCGATGCACTTCTTCCACCGGAGTGAAGAAAAGGCTCCACAGAATTCGGCTCCTGTTTGCAGGTGGATTTCGAAGTTTTGCAATGGTGATAGTAATGAAGAATAGCCCAACTAAATAAGGGAAGAAGAACACAAGCCAAAGAACCCACTCGGCTGTGTTAAGTGCCTGGTGGAATACCTTGAACCAGCCATGTAGGTGGACAGGTGAGAAAAACCATCCAAATTCTGGGCAATTGGAGCTGTGGCCATGATTCAAAGCTATCCACCAGAAGCGCACACTGGATGTTTTCCACAGAGCCCAGATGATGAAGCGGCTAGTTGCAGCAAGACAGCTCTCTTTTATCCCCTTGGGATTAAGGCGAAGGGTGCCCGTCAGGACGGTTAGTGTGATCCCATTGCCAAGCGAAATGATGATGAATGTGTTCACCGGATTAGCGCCAGGTAGGAGAAATCCCCGGGATTGGATGGCGAGGAAGACAGCAAGCAGGTACCAGAGATTGGTTGGAGCGAGGTCTGCAGCATCCTCGGGTTTGGCAAACACGTCTATCGTCGTCGTTGTGAGGAGTTGCATATATAAGCCTAGCCGGACTCCAAGGCCATACATATCGGGGTCTCCGTGAATCAAACAATTCGGTTCTGCGTCTCGACCTGGCAGCTGGGAAAGCGTCTTCCAGACAGATATGGCGGTACCGACAAGGAAGCAGCCCCAAGCGGCGTAGCCCAGGGTATGTAGCATTGGAGGCCACATTGTTCTAACGCTGGGAGGCTGGGCCGAACGGAGCATCTCTAAGCCAGCGAAGACACCTCTGGTGTGTTGACCGATCTTGTGGGGTTTTTGGTGCTTGTTGCACCGTTTCGAGGGTGACTTGCTCGCGTCGCTAGGCGGTTTCGAGAGGACTAACTAACTATTGAAATAACTAAAGGGAGGTCAGATTCCAGAGAATATGTCAGGCGTCGAGTAGAGGTAGCCTGCAGAGCCAACTGCTGGCGTTTATGTCACGAAAAGCCATATCATCGGGGAGCTCCGGGCTGTGGCTGTTGACTTATAAGCCGAATATGTCATGCAGAATTATAAACACTCTTCTCTGCAGCCTGCAGGAATTTCGTCTGGAGTTGAACGGTGAAAATCCGCGCGACCGATGGTTATTGGAGAGGAAGCCAGGTCGGCGGTGTCACCAGTTTCAGTCAGCCACAAATCTCGTCGAATACGAGTTGATCTCCGGCCCCGGCTTCATCTGTTGGAAGTTTCATGGAGGACTGTGCTTTGTTGGCCATTGATTCGTCCCCTGCCCTGCATCTCTCGGCGGCTAGCAGAGCCAGCAGGCATGCGCCATGGGGCTTAGAACGAGATGCAGACTCTCAAGGAACCCGGGATGGGAACTCGGAAGAAGAGCTGGGGGATAAATACAACGCGTCAACAAGATCAGATATCCAACTGTAGTCGGTGAGAGAAAGAGCATCACAGTCTTGAAACCGTATGTAAGGGCGGGCTCCCTCTCCGCGTGAGGATTCTTGATACTAACTTGCTCGATCTTCAGCATCAGCGAAAGCCACCAGTTCGTTCGTGTCTCTGTTTTGCAGATATCTAGAAATGGCGTATTTCCCACACAACCTTCATGTAGGTCTAAACCCTTGGATAACGTATAGTTGAACGAGTGACTGACATCCCCGGCAGAGGGGTGGCTATCCATACTGCCATCCAGAACGGCCCTACCCTCAGGTCGATGAGATCCCATGGGGATTCTATTTTGATATCCCACTCCAGCTGCCATCCCAACCAGTGCCGAGTTTCAATGCAGATCACCCCGTTTTCCAGATATGGTCTCCCCCCGCGATGTATAAATACCCCAGTTCAAATGAGTATCAAAACGCCGTGGTTCCTCATTCGGAGCCAGATCCATACAGCTTTCCACAAGCATCCAGCGAAGCGCGGTATGGATATTCAAGTCAGAACGCATATTCGAGAAATACCGCCGTGAGCCAGCCTATCGAGAGGCATCCTTCCCGCCCATCTCATTTCCCGAATGGCATCTCCAGTCCGTCCCCTTCACCGCCCCCGCCACCACGCCACGCTCCTGGCTGGGACAATGGTTATGGTTTCGAATTTGGCATCGATGAGTCCGTCTCTGGCTACACAGGCAGTTATCCCCAAGACTGTGACGGTGTTATTGCACCCTGGTCTGCTCTGTTTCCACCAACTCACAATGCCCCCGATATCACTTCCAACTTGGCGTGGAGAGCTTGAAAGTCGTTTTACTCTATCGAGAGTTAAACCCCGACGAAGGGATGAAGTCCAAAACTCCCAAGCGATGGCTGACAAATATATGTCCGCCGGTACTTATATTTCAGCATTGGGCCGTTCAGGTGAGTGAACTGCACGCCCTTCCCATTTTATCAGGCGCCAGATCTAACCTGAAAGTTTCAAGGTTGGATCTGCTGACTGCGGTTGGTATCGTTTTGAGTTGCAATACTTTAGAGACGGGTCGCAGCTCCGGGTGACGCGAGTGGACGATGAGGACGAGCGGGAAAATAGAAAATACAAGCAATTCCCTCCATTTGTTCAAAAATGGCTTCAAGGAACGACTCGTTTTAGCTTTGCTGAGATTAAAGAGCTTGGTATGCCTGCTATTGCAACCCCTAGATCCTGTATCTCGCACTAACAGCCCTAAATAGCGCACGATATCATCGAGAAACGCAAGCGCTATATACTCGGTGTTTCAGATTGCCATAACTTTGCCATCGACCTGGTTCACAAAATTTTTAACTCGTACAAGCTTGTCCCCGCAGCTATGAAGCTCGGTACGTCAGCGGTGAGGCAGCTAGTCAGGCCGGTCTGCCTAGCCATCACAAAGGCCCTGGAATGGACCGGAGTAATCAGAGAGCCCCTTGAAAAGGCTTTTCGCCGATTGTATCCTCATGATCGCGTGGAAGACCACAATGTGAACATCCAAGGCCAGAGCCATCATGGCCAGGACTACAATGATCAGGACTATCATGACAGGGACTATCATGACCGGGACTATCATGACCGGGACTATCATGACCGGGACTATCATGACAAGCACCATGATGACCAGAACTATGGTGACCAATACAGTCGCGACTGGAATTCTCTCTGCCAGAAAAGCTCTGCCCGGGGTTATGACAACCGGAATTATCGTGACGAGTACCATAGTGACCGGAATTATCATAGCCAGAGCCATTCTACCCACAGTTATGACAGCCAGAACTATCGTGGCCAGTACAGTGGTGATCATAATTATCATAGCGGGAGCTACCCAGCCCACAATTGTGACAACCAGGACTATCATGACCAGTACAGTCGTGACCAGTACCACTATGACCGGGACCGCTATGACCGGAACTCTTGTGGCCATTATAGCTAAGACTAGGACGACCAGAACTCCCAATGTCAGGTCGTGTGCTGTGAGAGTCGCCATAAAACGCAGAAAGAATCGGATGCAGAGGGAGCTGGTTCTCCCCGATGTCCGTAACATAATATGATGTTGACTGAATGATTCTTTTTGGAAATGAGCGTATAATTGAGTGAATATAAAAGTCAAGAGTGATTAGTGTGCAGGAATTCATATAGCAAAGTTGGTGTCGTTGCAACCATGGCCGCATGCAGGTCTGGGATGCGATATAAATGCATTGGACTGCATTTCTCAATGCAGATGAATTCTGAAATATCCCTACAGTTTTTGTTCAATGTTGGGGGGTTTGTGGAAGCTAGAAAATGTTAATATTCATCTAAGACAAGCCTTGATATGTATTTTGAAATTCGAAATTCTACCAGCAAGATTGTTGTCTCTCGGAGAAAGGTCTCCCAACTCTCTACCAGCAGAGCTCATCCGAAAGGCAGCTCTAACAGAAACATTGTAATAGTCTGCTGGGATAAATTTGATAGATTTCACTGGAAAATAATGGGCAATTGTTACTTTTGATGCGTTAACTAACACGTTAACACGTTTCATTCCCAAATACTAAACATCATTCTGATTCATAAGTCTTGTCGTAGAGGTATCACTGAAAATCCCACATGCCGTAAACAAGTTGATGCCAATAGAAAAAGGAGCTATGCTTTTAGACCGTCGCACAAGAATGCATTCATAAATTCTCACCAGTCCATTCTCTCGCCTCTCGAGGGAACACACGCTTGTATAAACTGATACCGATGGCATCTTGGGGGTTGATTTTCGCATCAAACGTCGCCTTGAAATATCCATGCGTTCCCAGGCTTTCTTTTATATACCCGCTACGTCCTCGTTTTGTCCATAACTGTAGAGCTTTAAACCACTGGACGTCTTCAGCGTTGAAGAACATATATCGCACTGTGACAACCTTGCGGTGAATCTTAAACGGGTGTCCCGTCAAGATAACACGCTTAGCAACAACACGTTGGTGATCTGGAGCCATTGTAGTGCCAGTTCCTATTAGTTGCAGTTTCTTGAATGTCGCAGATGTGTCATTCCCATCTAGAACCTCTGGGTCTGCTATGGACATAGTTTTGAAGACTAGTACTGGGATCGAGCCCCACGAAATAGGGCCAATATATGTAGCGACTGCGTTTCGGCCGGGGTGAAGATATCTGTCGAATTTATGGACGTTATTTGGTGTGGTCCCAGCGGCCGAGAATAAAGGTTTTATGACCAATCGGCGCGGGCCAAACTGAATAATTATTTCTTCCTTGGATTTAAGAGGTTCCTCGACATTCGAATTGAGCGTCATGTTGAGGTTAACCACACCGTGTTTGTGCTCGTGGCGAAGAAGCGAAAAGAGAGCAAGTGGTTCCGGGCAACTTTGCTTTAGATTTAATGGCACGTCACGTAGCAAAACCTTAACTCTGGTTCCTGGAGTCACTCCCCCAGCAAGAGCTTCACGGATGCATTGATTCCTTGAACCTTTATAATCCACAATCTGGAGCAGGCGGCGCCAATTTTCTGGTTCGTGTGCTCTGTCTTCTTCGGTCTCCCATGCGCTAGTTTTAAGATTCTTCAATCCCCGATACCGTGCTAAGCGTTCCCTTGCAAGCGTATTGGGGTGAAGTTCAATTTCGTCGGGGAATTCGAGGTCGTCTGTCTCCTCCATTTTTCGACTTGCACGATATTCTTCAATCTGTTGCGCTTCCTCTTCGGGCGACGGATCGAGGAACATCTCCGATTGAGGGTATTCAGAGGGTCCAACCTCAGTTGCAGCATCTTGGTTATCTTGCATGGAGACTCCTCCCTCAGGGCCAATTTCATCGTCCAGCTCCATTTCCTCGTCATCATACATATTATCAACAATATCTGACCCTGAGTCGGACATATCATCCAGATACCATGCCGCTTGATAGGAAGAAGTGCCTCTGGGAAGACGTTTGGGTCGCCTTGAAACTTCGTCATCCTCTTCATCTGAAAAGTAATGGTGGTCGTCAAGGAGCACGCCCTTTCTCTCCGTATCTGCCATTGAGACGTTTTCGTCATACATGAACACATCCTCGGGAGCCACTACGGCGAGGTCGTCTGCATCAGCAGTTGGTTCATCCAAAATTCGTATTTCGGCATCGCCATCCACGTTCATGGAATCATCCTTCTTCGGCCGTGATTCTAGGGGCGCTGCAGCAATGGAAGATACTTGATAGTCTCCCCAGTTTGGAATATGAACCAACCGATCAGCCTTCAGGCCCTTTCCACGGACAATTCCTGAAACACAGACTTGCCCAATTTCATCGCTTGTTTCGGGCCATTGTATATCCTCGATAAGCATCCAACTTCGATCATCTCGCCAATGAATGCCCTTCGGTGTTGCCGTACATATGCTTCGAATGACATTCGAACATTCTTGTCTCGAATCCAAGGAATGCACCTTTTCGATAGTAGGGAAAAAACGGTTGACAGTAGTCTTGAGGGAGGAGACTATTTGCTGTCGCTTTTTCGGAGAGTTTATATTATCAAGACCCTACATGAACCGCATCAATAGAGTATTAGCCACCAATACGTTTGGGCCTCGTACCTGCACAACAGCAATAACATTGGATATCCCTTGGCTTTCGACGGACCGAAAAAGGAGTTGGGCATCTTCATCCAGGGCCTCGCAGGCCGGGAGGACAAACACCACAAAATCTGCTAACCGACAAACATCCAAAGTATTGATTAAGTCCTTTTTGGTCGGCATATAAAGCACGCTTTGCTTGAATCTATCGATGCGCACTCGACACAAACCACTATGTACACTGGCGTCCGGGATATCGACGCTTCGGCTAAGAGATAAGATCGCCTCGTCCGTGGCGGTTCCGTCGGACAGGGGCACTACAGCGACGTGTCTCGGAGCACCATTCTGGCCGGAAAATATACTTGTGGCCTCAGCTTTGACTTGGCGCTTAAATCTTTGTTTTTGCCTTGCTTGGTTCCGTCGTTCGAGTTTCGACATCATTTGCTGGTGCGCTGTCTTCCGAGTGCCTTTTTCTCCAAGTTCGACTTTCCCTATGGAAGCGATCAATGATTATCGTGTACAGCACAAGTAGGAGAGCAAAATACCTTTCTGTAAATCCTTCAGCGCCCCTTTCGTCGAGTGTTTTGACTTGAAAGACTTGTTCGCATGCTTCGTATTGCTACGGTGATGATGCTCGGTTGCGACGGCCATGGGAGCCATGCTGGGACCGCTAGACCCCTTGAACCTGAAGGGAAGAGCTGCCACTTTGTTCAGCCTATATGATCGCCGCTCTGCTCAGCCAAACCCTCGCAGTCAGCGTCTGTTCATGGGTGTTATTCTGCGGTGAAGTCGAGAGGGAATTGTCGTGGGCGGAAAAAAGCTTATCGGTGGTTATCAGTGTGCGATAAGCTAGACGGTGAAATCTTGGCATTAAATTTCGGCCACCAGCTACCTTTCTTAAACATGAGGACGAGAAGAGGCCGTTTTATCTTATTCTCGAGTCATTCTGTCTGTTAATAACGCGGTAGCCATGGAAGTCGAAACATCGCGAGCCTCCAATTCGACCGCACACCATCGGGACCCCCTCAAGGCGGAAGCCCGCGACTCCAAGCTCCAACTTGCAGAAGCCCAAAAGCAATACGGTCGAGGAAAGAAAGTCAATATCAAGAGCATAAAAGACAAGAAGTTACGGAGTCAGCTGAAGGGGCTCGAGAATAAGTATAAAGACGCAACCCTCAAAGCGAAAGATGCAGAGATATTATTAGAGCACGAAGGCGGCTTCCTGGAGCCAGAGGGAGAGCTCGAACGGACATATAAAGTCCGACAGGATGAAATTAGAGAAAATGTGGGAATTGAGACCGCAAAAAAGGGGTTTGACCTCAAGTTGGAGGAGCTTGGACCGTACCGGGCGGACTATACAAGGAACGGGAAGATGCTCCTAGTGGCAGGCCGAAAAGGACATGTCGCGACAATGAATTGGCGAGATGGAAAACTGGGATGCGAAATGCAACTTGGAGAAACGGTCAGAGACGCAAAATGGCTCCATAATGAGCTATTTTTTGCGGTTGCTCAGAAACGATACGTCTATATCTACGATCATAATGGAGTTGAATTGCATTGCCTAGATAAGCACGTTGAAGCGACACATCTGGAGTTTTTGCCATACCACTTTCTCCTAGCAAGTGCCGTGAGTGAAAGTTACTCCAAATGTCTCGAATGGAAATTGCTAATTCATGTCTCAAGGCTACGAGCGGTTATCTTAAATACACAGATACATCTACGGGTCAGCTGGTCGCTGAGCTCCCAACTCGACAAGGCTCGCCTACTTCGCTCTGTCAGAATCCCTACAACGCAATTCTTCACGTCGGACATCAGAACGGAACCGTAACTCTTTGGTCACCGAACACCACTACACCATTGGTAAAAGCCCTTACCCACCGAGGTCCTGTGCGATCACTCGCAGTCGATCGCCAGGGCCGATACATGGTCTCCACAGGTCAAGACATGAGAATGGCAATCTGGGACATTCGAATGTTCAAGGAAGTACATAACTATTCTGTCCTCCAGCCAGGGTCAACGGTGTCAATCAGCGACCGCGGTTTAACGGCTGTCGGTTGGGGAACAAAGGTCAGCGTTTGGAAGGGCTTATTTGACGCTGCCGCTGCGAGTGAACAAAAAGTCCAAAGCCCGTACATGGCCTGGGGCGGTGACGGACAGCGAATTGAAAATGTACGGTGGTGTCCCTACGAGGATATTCTCGGAGTAGCGCACGACAAAGGGTTCTCCAGCCTTATTGTTCCAGGCGCTGGTGAACCCAATTTCGATGCCTCAGAAGCAAATCCATACGAAAATGTAAAACAAAGACAAGAAACTGAAGTGAAAGCCCTTCTCAACAAACTTCAGCCAGAAATGATCTCTATCAACCCGGATTTTGTGGGCGCACTCGATCTAGTGAGCGATAAGATCAAGCGAGAGGAAAGAGATTTGGATAAAAAGAATGAAGATCCTATTGAGAAGCTGAAAAATCGCGGTCGTGGGCGCAACAGCGCACTGCGAAGGTATCTTCGGAAGAGAGGGTCGAAAAACGTAATCGACGAGAAGAGAGTGAAGGCGGAGACTCTAAGGAAAGAACAGAACTCGAGGGTTAAGGAGAGAATGCGGCGGCAGAGAGAAGAGCTGGGCCCTGCATTAGCAAGATTCGTCAAGAAATAAGGGCGAACTCCAGAGCAACCAGGTGAAAAGTGCATTCAGGCGTATCTTGGTTTCGTTATAATACCCTTGAAGAGCTCATGACTATGTACAGCTAGGGCAGGGCGTTGCTGGTTTATATACAGGATTATTGCTGCAAGGGATGTATCATCATGGAGTAGGTATGCACGATACATACATACAAAAGCCATAATGCTTTGTGTACTTTCGAGATAATCTATTTCTCTACCGGCCCAGAGCCTCTCGGGGCTCCATTTTTCCACCGGGCAATACTGACATCGTACGCCCCTGTGGATTTCCATCCGCTCACGATAAGATTCACAATATGCTCCACGCCCTTACCATTTTTTACTTCCGCGAAGATCGTCGGTCCACCTTCTCTCATCCTCGCCGCATCTCTCTCCATCACACCTAAATCAGCTCCCACGGCTTCTGCCAGGTCGATCTTATTCACCACTAACAGATCGCTTCCCGTTATCCCCGGGCCACCCTTCCGCGGAATCTTATCACCACCAGCGACGTCAATAACGTAAATGATATAATCGGCGAGTTCCCGCGAGTAATTCGCCGCAAGGTTATCACCACCGGACTCGATAAGCAGTAAGTCGGTTTGGAATCTGCGCTGGAGCTGCTGGAGAGCTAGGAGGTTGGCGCTAATGTCTTCACGGACGGCAGCATGGGGACAGCCACCAGTTTCAATGGCACGAATACGTTCGGGGGGGAGCGCTTTATTGCGAGTCAGGAATTCTGCGTCTTCCCTGTGTCATTGTTAGATGTTGCCCAGAACAAGCCAAGGCTCTAGAATGCGGTTACAGGGAATCGAGTTCAAGAAGATGGAGTACCTAGTGAAGATATCATTCGTCACAGCCGCAATATTGTACGTTTCCCGCAGGGCCAAGCAGAGCTGCAGCATCAAAGCTGTTTTGCCAGATCCCACCGGTCTGGTTCGGAAGAGCGAAATCAAATTAGATGTTAGCCACGAGGTTCAAGCGTTCAGGTCTTCAAAGGTTGGTTTTACAGCTTTTGTTTGCAACATGTTCGGGAAAAAGCGGTGCAGAACAATTCCCAGGGCTAAATTTCCCAGATAGAACATTTACACATACCCTCCAATTCCAATTGTAAACGCTCTATCATTCCAGTCTCGCCCTTCGATAATGGGCATCTCCCGGTTGAGGTAGGACCCGGGACCGTCAAGGATCTCGTGCGTATGGCCATGAGGGACGGCGTGAGAGTGGGAATGAGAGTGAGAGTGCGGGGGCTGCTGCGGACTAGCCATTGTGAAATTTGAAAGAACCTGCCCTGGCTCGAGTCTCGTTGGGCTATTTCGGTCGATTGTATTCGGTCACGGAGTACTGTGAAGGAGAATCTTTGAACAGGCGATGATGAGCTGGCGGGGCAGGCGAAGAAGGTTCGGGGAACGTGGAGCTTAACCGCTGTCATTCAGCCACCAACGCAATGCCGACGAAGTCGCCGAATTTGACATCTGTTTGAGCCCGAGGACTGGGGATGGTCGGTTAGTTTTAGGGTCCAAAGCGCGCTGTTCATTCGAGTATTTCGCAAGTCATATAACTACATGTGCCGACCGGTTCTCATCAAATCAAGAAGGATAATACCGAAAGAAATATCTTACAACACCAACAAGAACAAATTGGTTAAGAATCGCTCAGATTGGTTTCCATTGCTGTAAAAAGCCAAAAGCACCAGTGTGTATCTCCAGCAAAATCAAAATCATAGAAGAACAACACGCCAGGAGCTGAGGGACGAGGGAAACAAAAAGCATGCTTGTCAAACCTCAACATAAAGATTAGCGGTTTATCCTAGCAAAAGCGCACATGTAAAAAGCGAGGGAAAGGGGGAATTATGGGAGAGCGGATATACTCAAAAAGTGACAATGCAACCCACAAAGTATAGCACAGAACAAATTCATCACAAAAAGCTTCCACAAGAAAAAGCATGGTCAAATATAATCATTCCACATCCGGGAGAGCATGGAACTTTGGGTAACATGGTATCCTTCGGGGTCGCAAAAGCAAATCAATAAGCTCACATGAATCCCTGCACCAAGTCCTGTACACCCAATCTACTCCAGAGCAAAAGCCAAAAAAGAAATACTGAGCACGAAAATGGAATTTTGCAGAATACAGCAATGGATATTGCCCCGCGTTAGAATATGTGCGTACAACTCCGTAGCACCCAAAACGAATAAAAATGAATCATCGATGAACTCCTCGGGAGCATCCCGGTTGGAAAAATGTATAGAGGGTATAGCGCCGCCGCCCCAAAACAAGAAAACTGTAACGTCCTGTGATGATTGGTCCGAGGTGAAGGATTAGAACGCCGTGAAATTATAACAAATTCTGTCCGGAAAGAATATCGCCGAGAAAGGCTGACCGGCGCCGTACAACGGCAAGGCTGCGTGATTGTCGGAAGGCAATAAATCGGTTTCTTATCAGCTCGTCCCCTTCTGCCTTTTACCTCCAACTCGAGGGCTAGCTTTCACTTTAGCCATATTAGTTGCCGCAGTGCCATTGACATCCGAAGCAACCCCATTTTCATCAGCCTCCATCTTAATAGTACTCGCCCGCCGGCGTTTGTTGCTGACATTCGGGCTTGTATTGGCGCTAGTCCCCTGACTTCCACTGGTATTCGTGCCTTGTTGACTTT